CCACCTCCTCCTCCATCTCCCCCCAACACCACCACAGCTACGAGCGCGCTCCGAGAGCTTGTTTACAAACATTGCGCTACTCGCGAGTGCATGCCCGAGACAAACATGAACGAACAGCATACCAGATGGCTAATAAACTTTCAGACACTTTCCTACAGCCGAAGAGACCTACACAACACTACAACTACTTACAGCGTGTGCACAAGAACCAGCGCCAGTACCACCAGCGACTTCCAACATACCATGATAATATTTCTCAATTTCTCGCGCGTGGAATTCCAACTATTTCTCATTTTATAAGCCATCCACAGCCCGGGGCCATGTTGCAGCAGCAGCAGCAGCCTTGGTGCACGAGACCAACGCCCGTAGCCGTAGCGTTTGTTATGGAAGACCAGCATCATTGCGCGCGCGATTTGTCCGCTTCCCGTGCGTGCGGTGCGCTATGTCCTATTTACTGGCGGCTGGCGGTGCGTGTGGGTGGAAATGAAATCGGCGCGGGCAAGCAAAGCCCACGAAACGCGCGCGCGGGCCTCACGGGAAAACTTAGAGGAAGGGGGACGCGACGCTCTATTTATAAGTTTGTTATGACTGGGCCCCCCCGCAAACGCGCGCTCGCGTCGTGTGTCAATTTTCGTCTTCGACACTTTCACTCACCAGGATGTGGATTCCGCTTTTAAAAATGCGTCCGTGACTGGGATGAGCACCCAAGTCGTCGTCTAACTTTGGCACCCCGAGTCGATTATTCTATATATAAACGCGCACCCACCGTATGTCTTAAAGAAGGGAGCTTTAGACATGACATATTCCCGCTCGAGACTATAATCTGCGGCATATGTCAGTCTCCCCGCGTGAGTTATGCCCGCTTTCGAGAGGGTGCGGAAGTGTTGTTACATTTCACCGAGAATGTATTTTTACTCGCGTCCGGAGGAGCAGCACCCACAGACGCTGCAATTCGAGTTGGGTGCACACGCGCGCGCGCGCGAGGGCTATCTGCATAGATCAATTTCCCAGACGTGCGCGACACGTGCTCAATATATTTAGCATTGAAAGACAAACGATATTTCCTCAAGTAATGTCTTCCAGGCAGCGCACCCATCGAGCACCCAAAAGCGTCGTGTTATAAATACTACACCAAATTCCATTATACTCGTATATAAAAAATGTGACTAAAAATAATATAATAATCATAGTGTAAGTTTAAGGTCTTCCTCGTTAAACTACTGTTAATTTCGACCCGTGCGGGCCATCCGACAACGAAAAAGCTCATCTACGGCGCGACGGGCACGAGCCAGGTGGCCGGCAAACGATCATCCCATTTCCGGTCACGTGTTGCCGCTCGCGCGCGCGCGCGCCCGACAATCACCGTGTGGCACATGGCACACCGAGGTATACCTTAATTAACGTTATTATGTAACATCTTAAAAAGTGAAACGAACCAGCGCCTAATCACAGGCCAACAGATTTGCGCCTGCTGTTCGCTGAAAAACCTCGACATCGTGTCTGTTTCCTGCTCTTCTGTGCTCCCCTGGGGAGAGAAAGTTGTCTACATACACGCCAGCATCCTCAAATCTGCGGACCGGGCGCGTCTCTTGCACGTGCCCACATCACCTGCCGCGGTGTCTTTCTCCGCACCTGCCTCGGCGAATCGGGGCAGACAGCTGCAGGACGCAGCATACCGCCGCAGACAGATTTCAGCACCTGGTTGTATTGTACACGCGCGCGATAAGAAAAACCCAATCGGGATTGACTCGTGCCTAGCGAATGGCAAATACCTAGCGATACATAGCGCACGCGACCAACAATCGCAGCTGAAGCAAACAATACAATTCGCACATCTATGCCCGCAGGTCCAATATCAGGTAGTGTTTGTGTGGAGTGCGGGTGCGCACGGTGCGCAAAAGGACAGATGCATCACCGATGGCGGCACGCGCCCAAACGGTGGTAATAATAAAAGCGTGGCGCAGCGCGCAAAATCTTTCACGGGCCCCGCGCAAGAAGCAATTCTTAAATTCTTAAACAATTTCTGAGCTTGTAAAAGCACTACAATACAGCAAGTCGAATGCTACGCAGCTGTCTTTCAGCTGTCGATCGCGTTTGACTGTGTGTTCAACATCTGGCGCGGCCTTCACTTTCGCACCCTTTTGCCTTTCCGATACTTTTACTCGCGTACACCTACGACAAGCCATCAATAAGCACCCTCTTCCCTCGTGCGACAAGTCATCGCTTGCCGACGATCCTCATCAACGCGCTAATTTTAACGACGAGCTAAATATACGCGCGTGCGCGCGCCCAACAAAGTCGCATAGCACCTCTAGGTGTGCAAGCCTACAAACAAAACCAAGCAGCAACAAAAAAAAAAAACACAGGCGAGCCATCGACATGTGCAGCAGGGCGCCTATAAATACGCATCCGCACGCATCAAGCATCAAACTGACACATGCACCTAATTACACTCAACATCTCATCTTCAGAAACAACAAAAACCGCCTCGCCCCACGTGCCGTACCTGACATAATCAACACGTTCGTTCGCAACAATGTACCGAATGTATTTATAACAAAACGCCCACGCAGAGGGCGGATGTCGTGGCAGCCAGGAAGACGCTGCTGTCGGCGGGGTGTCAATGCACTCCGCGCGACAGGAAGAGCGATGGGGTAGGTTGCAGTAGACCGACATCGCGCAAGCTGCGAGCCAGCAACAAACTATCGTTAACATCCATCCACCATCTAGGTACTACTATCCAGCGCAAACCAATGTGTGCCGCGGCGGCGCGCGTCCGTCCGGCGTGTTTCGCCTCGCACCCCAAACCCACCTGTCCCGGCAGATGTGCATTACTTCACCTCCCGGTTTCGTTGTTGTATTGCTTGCCAGTCCATTAAAGAACCCTCGCGTTTAATATCATCTATTCTCAAACCCAACATGCCGTTTGCAACCGCGAGATATCTCATCACGACAGAATAGAACAAACCAAACCCACCAGTAAATACGATGTGATGTATAATATGAAAAGTAAATAATTTTCCAAATTATATGCGCTTCCTTCGAATGTAATTGATTTTTAACAACACATATCAATATGTTTATACTCTATATAACTTTTACGACCGCATAACAACGTTTCTATTCCAACCCTAGACGATTTCGTGCGACCTACCCTACTCCTAATGTCCTTAATGGCAAATTAATGCCCTAAATCTCACAACCCTTCTTCAATCGTGTAAAACTTCTTTTTAGCAGTAGTACGCGTGTAGAGTAAAACTATAGCATGTGTAGTAAAACAAGCCGAAGAGCGGCGATAAAGAAGAGGAACCGGTTTTCGGACCGCCGGACGCCGCATACCCATCGATATCGCGGCCGATTGGACGTTCGCGTATCCTTTATCTCTTGTTTCATTGAGAGCGAGCAAAGTGGGTGTACTCGCGACCGCCAATGAGCACCGCGCGCTCGATGTTGTTCTCCAGACCACCACACAAATTCCTCCGGCCGACTCGCGGCCTGTGTCGGACAACTTTTGTAAACAAAGTTGCCAAAGCAAAAATTAGAATACGTACGGCGCAATAACAACGAGTTTCAAGCCGATGAGGAAAGAAAGTTTGCCTTCCGCATCGAGTTCTTGTTACGCTGAATTTATTACAGCTACACACAACTCGAAAGCAGATTAAGGATCAAGGTTCGGCGCATGCGAAAAAAAAAGGCGAGCAAGAAACACGTTGAAATTAGTTTCCCAGGGTGTCCCGTTCTGGAATCCGCCAAACAAGATGCGGCGCGGCATCATGGGAACGGCGCGTCGAAGCGAAAAGACAACTTTTATTTTCACGTGACTGGGACCCTATTCGAATTATGCGGATTAGCTTTTTCCAACCAACTTTGTTACCTTTCGGCTTCTTCCGACAAACGCCATATCACAAGAGGGGCAGCAACACACACGGCAATAGACGCACCGCTCTATTTACGAAATAAATCAAAACCAACCACCGTTTTATACCCCTCCGAATGAATAGTCACAAATTACAAAACAGGCTCGGGGATTAGTCATATACAGCCACAACGTACAGAAAAAAAGCTTCCAGAGAAAAGTAAACTTATTCATAGGTTAGAGGTGAAATGACTAGTCAGCTACTAGAACAAATGCCACGACCAAACTAGATGCGATGATTCAACCGAAATTACTCCACGAAATTATCCATTAATCCACTATGCTTCAGATGATTCAAAACTAAAATTCCAAATACGGCAATGTGCAACTTCCTGTTCGTGCAACAACAATAAATAAGTAAATGAATCACTTTGGTGATATTCATCATTTTAATTACGCACCCCTTCTCTCATAAAACAGCAAATCATACCCATCGTAATAAAAAAACCTGTCGGGCTGTCGGCATGTCGCCAATACGACGATGACAAGTAAAAAAATATCACCGAAAGAGACGAGATTGAAAGGGGTGCAATGCAGCGCGCCCGCCACTCGAAAAGTAGGTTGTTACCCCATCGGGTCGGCGGGTCAGCAACACCCTGCCGCCGAGTGCGATGACCTACGCGAGCTCAGAGACGCGGCAGGATCCAAATATACACCACTAGCCGATGATGTCATCTGACCCAAAATAATTCACGCGTAATTATGCAACACGCACGACGGCCAGACTGCTCCAGACAGGAATCACTACCAAACCGCGACAAATCTCTGAGCGCAAGTGTGTGCATATGCCTGCGCCTCTCTACATACAAGTTGCTGGCGACTATCGCTGGCGATGGCAGTTTTTCGTTTAGGGATATTTGCGAGGACGACACAAGGACTAAAATCCGTGTCGCGGCGACGCGTCTGGGCACGCCGACATGTGGGCGAGCTAAATTTGCATCGCGACGTCTATTTCCGAACGGTCGCGGCGCGGCGGCGCGCGTGAACCACCAATTTTCGGCACGCGGAATCACTACTAGCCCGTGTGTGACTCACGTGCTGCCGCCAAACACCTAAACATTTCAAGAAGAAGACATTTACTGACCTGTTGTAGACCTCCTCCGCCCAGGCGTACTTGGTGATGCGCTGCAGAGGCGTGAGTCCCTCATCTTCAATCTCCTCGGCTGCGGGACCGTCGCCCTGCTCGTACACTCCTGTAAACAATAACAAGCCAAACTGCATTACTTTAATCAGCGACATCGCCAAGGGGGTGCATAGGTGTTATGTGTGTAGGTGGATCAATCCTTATTCAAAGCGAGTCGCGGCGCGTCATTCATATTACACACACACACACACACATATATATATCCAACACACCCGCGCGATAATCACGTCCACTACAAATCCTACTACAGGATCTACGCTTACTATAAAAGGCGTGCGCAACGCCATTCAAAAGTGAGCATTTTAAACGCCGATTTAATTGACCGCAACATTTTTGCATATACACAGTGTGTGTGGTGTCTCCCAACCGCTCAGTGTGCTGAAATTAATTTGCAGCATTTGAGCACGCCGCTGATTGAAATGGATCGAAATAGCCGTTACGTCGAGACTAGACGTACCGCTAGTTAGCGCTCTGTTGCGCCTGGCGGTGCGAAACCAATAAATTACATTTCACGCCGTTTAGAAAAGCGAAAGAAGATGAAGGCGGAAAAAACACACCAAGAGCGCAAAAATCGCAAAGTGTGGCGATGGCGAGACTGTCCGCCAGACGCCCGCAGATGATTCTTTCTTCAAGTGCTTTGCTCGCGCAAGCAAATCCCGGCAAAATACCGAAATTCAAATTCAATCAAAAGTTTCGAGTGTGAGCAGCAGCAGAAAGCGCGCGCGCGCTCGTGGACTAATTGGACATACTTTTGAAGTCGTTAATTAATACTCGACGCCCCGGCGGCACAAACGCAGCCGAGTAATCAAAGCAACGCGCGCGGCCGTGCGCTCCTCGGGGGAGAGCAAAGATTGAGTTAAGGGCTTTGGCGCGGCGACGGCGGCGGAGGCAGTGGCGCCGTCAGAAACTTGAAACTTCCGCGACAATAGAAATTGCGCCAATTGTGTGTTTGAAAGGGCGTTAAACAGACGATTACTGTCGATTCCCCAAAATGCCCCAAAATAAATGCCGCCTCATTAAAAACTTTCCGGCGTGTTATTTAAATAACCTTATTATTAGTTTTTATTCGCATTGTAGTCGATTGTTAAGGGAGGTGTCGCACACCGGTAGTAGTGGCCCCCAACAAGCACAAGATGATGGCACGAAATCGTTGAATGTGTAAGACGCGAATCGATATTTACGGCCGGCCTATCAAAAGCTTCGCGGCACACGCTAGCCGTCTCTGCGCCCACTACGCTCATCGCATCGCAACCCTTAATCCCCAACCACCAAACTGATAATTCACACTTAAAAAGTGAAAAAAAATTTAATTTTTAAAACTAAATTTTTGCGCTATGATTACGAAGGTATAAATATAAGTAGAAGATGGGTGCAGTTCAGTTTAATTACCATTCGGGGCCTCCTAAAGCGTAAAAGCTCGCCGCAAAGGTTGGTTTCAGGGCGCGGCGTGCCGCCACTCAACGCTCACAGGCACCACAACGCCGCTGCGACATTTCGCGCACTTTAAAAACTCTGCGAAATTTCGCACACTGCAGTAACAATACACCCACCACTACCATATCACCATACCTATGGTCGTCAACAATCGCTACCGGCATGGATTACGGATGAGCCCATCGTAATGTGCCACCCATTTGCGCGACTTTCTCCAAACACCCCGCGCATGAATAAAACACGCCGCAAAATGTGCAAAAATGAACGACGCCGCGACGCAATTCGCCGCACGCACGCACGCACGCCGGCGGGCAAAAAGCAACCGTAGCCGCCGCCGGACACATCGGACATACGTCGCGTGCGCTGCGTCGGGTGTGGAGTTTCGTCAGTCCGTGTGCGCGATCGCCGTCGCCGCGCGGCATCGCGAGGGCGCCACCGGTCGACGACACAGCGTACGCCCATACTACACGACTACTATATAACCAACAACCAAAAGGGTGGTCGGACGGCGATGAGGGCGAGGGCCGACGCGCGGCTCCGCATACAGTGTGTCGCCTGCCGCCGGCGGCGAAGAATCGATAGGAAGCAGCGCTCCGCCGGGCGTGGTTTACCGCAGTTGCACGAATAAAATCTTCATTCAACCGTCATCATCATCACCATCATTCCACGCATCATTCAAATATCAAGATTAACCCCCAAACACCCATCATACCTCCTCACTTTTTCGCGCGAGTATTGCAGAGTTAAGCTGTGAGACAAACCGCTCAATAACTAAAAAAATATTATGATGAGGATACAATGAACGCAGCGCAGCGGATATCCCACGGAGCAAAGTTACTTACATCGCGCGAGCAAGAGACGCGCGCGTATTTACATATTGAATGAGCTCTCTCGTTCTCCGGAAGTGACACCCGTGTGCTTTATCTAACAATAAGTCGGAGCAATGTCAGACGCACGACGCAGCAACAGCAGGAGCAGCTTTTTATGAGATTGCCCGCGTTTACTACCATATTGTACCGACTTCATTCAAAACATTTTATTCTCATTCATCGATTGACCAACGTGTCAAAATAACTTAATCGCAGGCCAATTACAGTCGAAATGATTATCGCAGACGCGCGAGCAGAGCGAGAGAAAAAAAAAGTTATGAATTGAACATTGAATCAATGAATCAACTTTTAAAGTAAATACATATGAACGCGTTTTTTTCGGCATAGCGTGCGCATGTTTTTTTTTTTTCAAAAGTTAAACGCTGATTCTAATCGCGCGCGCTTGGTGAAACAAAGACCACAATAAAGCTCTCGGCTGCCGTATCATTATCATTCATAATTTTCATATCTCGTCATCTTGCGTCTTCTGTGGCTCTAATTTTAATTAATTAAACAACGCTCTGGGAAACGTCTCCAGTTTTTCGACTCGTACCACTTGTATATACACACATTTACGACTGGACGAAAAAAAAAAACAGAAACAGGCAAATCCCTTTTTACAAAGTAGAATAAATAATATTTTAATTAGTGGTAATTTAGCAGTTTCGTTGTCGAAATAAAATCGCTAACCGTTAGGGCATATAATAAAAAATAATTACTTTAATAAAAGTTAATAAACGTAACGAAACGTGTGTGTGCAGCGTGCCCGCCCATGTCTTCTGCGGCGCGCGTCTTCTAATAGCTCACACCGAGCGGCGGCATATTAGACACAACTGTGAACTGTGAGGATCATAATGCAGGCGAATTAAATTCGACGACGAGCAGAAGCCCGTTATACAATGGCAAACCCGTCATTATTATATTAAAAATTTCAGTTTTTTATGCGCAAAAATATCTGTGTGGTGTTTATGTGCGGACATATGGTATATAATGTTATGAATGCGCAGAAAGCGACAGAGTGGCGGATATGCTCGCGCATAGTAAGCGAATAGGCGGACGATGGGGTTTGAAAAGAAGCATGACGTCCATTGACCCATGCAACGCGCTCGGCACGCCGCGCAAGAAGAAAACACGTCCAAGAAGTTGGAAATGCTAAAAATTGCACATTGCAACATTGTTGCTGGAAAATGCAACCGAGAAGTTTTTCGGGTTTATTTTTACTTGCGGTGGACACACTGTAGGTGGTGGCACGCAGACGCGTAGCAATGTCGCCCGGTATCGGAATGGAATTTGTTTGTTTTTCGTGTGTCCGCCGCGTCCGTGTCGCAAGCGGCCGCGCGGCGCTTGATAATTTTATCTATTGGCATTAGAATGGCTTTTTCGAGAGCGCCGCGACGCAGCCTCGCTTAAAGCACTCGAACGCCGAAAAAGCGCGCCGCCGTTGCCGATTAAAAATAACACATCAATTTATTGCGTTTAGCAATCGAAGAGCGCGCGAGTTACATATCGCGCTTGACGTCAAAGAGACAGGCGCCGTCATTGAGCGCAACTACGCCGCACATATATGCAATGTGCGGCTGCTTTGAATGCAGCTAGAAAGAAATGTGTATGATGAGAGGCTCACCGAACGGCATGATACCGCACTGTATGCGCTGCGGATGCGCGGCCACGGCGTAATACTCCACGGCGGGGCGGCATTCCCCGTCCATCGGGGCGCTGTCGCACTGACACACGGGGATGACGCCACACACAGCGAGCGCGACGACGTCGCCCGAAATACTAAGCGGACGCCGCGCGCCGCTCTGCTTGCCAAAACAAAACGCGGCGACCGCGTGCGCGGCACGGCGCGGCGCAAAACAAACGTGTGAGATGATGACCAACTCACCTTCGTCGCAGTCGTCCAGACACTCGTCCTTGCCCAACGATTGATCTGCAACACAACAACGCACACAACATTAGACAGGGGGTCGGCGCGGCGCGCGTGTTGATGAAAAGCACCACGGCGCGGACACTCACCCGCCATTTTGTATCACTATCAAAACATAGCCGCTGCGGTAAAAAGGCACGTGATTCTCCACCCCGATCGGGCACTCGGACGGGCGGCTGATATTCTCACGCTGGCGCGCTGGCACCTGCCACTCAGCGCACACAAGTGGACGGTGGTCACAATTCACTGCCGCCACTGATTCATCACTTTGACGATTTTTTACGGAACTTTTCTCTCGCAATCGGAATAATATGCGTGGTGTGTGCGCCTCGCGCGAGCGGACGACCTTGCGAACGAAAATGCTTTGGTTAGAAGCAGCGAGTGCCAACCTGCCGAAGGCAAATGTCACTGGTGGCGCCGCGCGGCGGGAAATTTCAAACTCAACGCGCCAAACCAACACTCACAACACGCATATTTATGAACATAATCAGCAAAAAAATAAACTAACACTGAAGGATACACCAAGGAATGTTTAAACAATCATCAATGACTCAACGCAGCCAATAAAACAATGTATAGAATCACCTAACTAGGAAACTACTCGAAATACCAAAGTAACTAAAAAAGTTACCAAAAAACTTATCAATGCACTTCTTGTTTTAACAATAATAACAATTACTCTTTATATATATCTTTGAAAAATATTTTACAAATGATAAACATATTTATACACTTTTCTTTGCGTCCTAATAGTTATTCTCTTAAACATATAAAAACCGAAGATAAATATTTTCTTTTTTTGCAATATACATATATACGTTTCTATGAAATATAAACTCCTCTTGACCCGCAATATGTAGTTTTAGTTGTGCCGTAGGCCAGAAACAAGCGATTCGATGTAAATTGGATAAAAGTAAAAGAAATGAACGGTTAAACTTGGTACTAAAAACTCTTTGTGAGCAATTTTTAAAACTAAACTGAGGATAAAATGTCGCTTAAAGCTGAGCTGACCGGAATGCCCGGAACGATGATTGTACTTACAGTGTCACGCCGATAATTCCTCGATGTACTTCCAAATCACGGCGCGACACATCGGACACTCGTTTAGCATATTCGCACACGATGTGCAGAAACCCCTGTGAATAAAATACCAACTATTAACACAAAATTTACCTTTTTTGGTTAAAACTTACGAATGATTGCAAGGAATGAGTCGAACGGAAGCCTTCATATCGTAGCAAAGTGTGCAGCTGTCTTCACGCACGCTGTGCTGCCGCAGCAGCATAAGAAAAACATGGCGAGGCAAAACCTTTTTCTCGTCCGGTTCGAGTACGCCATGTTCGTTAAAAGTCGAGAACACGACACCGTCGGGCGGGTACTTGAACGGCTCCGAGCCGAAGTTGAATCGGCATTGCTGGAATGACATGAAGCTGGCAGCGGGAAAGAAACCAGACCTATCAAACAAATAGACAAGTTAGCCAACATAAATTTCACTAACCTATATAACAAAATTTTCTATATGCTTTTTAAAACTTTACTCACTTAGCCATATTGAACACCTGCGTGCTTGGTGGTAGTCCTACACCATTAACAGAAAAAACAAAACGCTGCTGTTCGAAATCTAATAAACATCCCAGCACATCACCGGGACTCCATCTCGCCAACGTCTGCGGCTCGGATTTAGCATTGTACCAAATCAACTTCCGGCAGCCATCATAAGCCAGCGAGTATTTATCGTCACCTATCCCATATCCTTCCTAGAATGTAATTTTATTTATAACCATGATAAATCATGGAAATATTGATTTTTAACCGCTTACATGATTCAGAAAACTGCTATCTTTCGTCGCCCAACCGATTTGCATTACTCCGGGCGTAACAATAGTCACTTCATAATACCAAACGCCTGCATCCGCCTGCGCTGTGCAGCGCACACTCTCAAATGAGTAAGCGTCACACCGCGCCTCCAGCCCGTCGGCGGATATCTTCAGATACTCGCTCACGTCGCTCGTGTTCAACATCGCGTTAATCGGCGACATGTCGATGGCTAAATAGGTGAAGGTCCTTTCATTCATCACAACTGCAATAAAATTCATTTATACACATCATTACCGCATTAATGATTGTTTTGATTGATGTGGAATTTACTTACATAAATTGTCTAACGCCCACTGCGCGCAGAAACCAACCTGACGACGAACATAATGCGTCTCATGACGCCATTCCTCCAGCAGTGCAATTGGGCACGGCTGTTGCATCTGGAGGCGTTTGACGATCGTCGATTTATTCACGCTTGTCTGAGCAAATTTCTCTAAGGCGATTAATGAAAATAATATCACATGTGGATCGGTTTCAAGTTCCTAGAAAACAAATATTATATTAAACATTAAATTTTAACAAATTAGGTAAATATTTCAACACTTACTAAATTAGTTAACAAATAATCTAAAGTATCGTCGGTCAAAATGCCTTGACTACTCGGCCCGGCAAGTTTCTCGGCGATGCAACCAAGAACAACGCAGATATTACGTTCACGAGGTGCTGTATCACGACTGAGCAACGCGCGATCCTTCGATAAGTTAAACATCTTCGCCACGCGCTGCACACTCTCTCGTGATGGCAACGGACAATCATCTAGTAGCAGTGTAATAACGGACGGGCCAAGTGGATCATGCATTGGGATGACATTCACCATTGATTTGACCACCTGAATCCAGCCTTCTTCATTGTCCGCGATGTTATGCAGACGCAGCATGGATTGTGGTGGTTCTTGTTCACTACAAACAAAAAACATGTTTTATTTGTTGTTTTTAATAGTAAATATTTAGCTTACTTGTCAACTAGTGTTCCAATACATCCAAGAGTCTGCAGCACCAGCTCGTCGACAGTCTCCGAGTCCGGACAGCCTTTCTCCTCGCCCTCGACGTGCCCACAGGCAGTGATACGTACATAGTGATTGGGCTGCGCCTCGGCGTTGGCGAGCGGCTGTGGTGACGGTGTCGGAATGTACGATTCACTCTGCTCACGCTTCTGCTTGCAGCAGCAGGCGCCCATAGCATTATCGGCGGTCGCGGTGGGTCTCCAGCTCGTCGCTGATGCTGCCGCGTAAACTTACGGGCATGCTGTGGCGCACTCCACTCCCTCAAATTAATCGGCTAGTTGTGCACCACAGCAATAATTCAATTCGATATCTTCGGTTTGCTTTCAATAAACCCGCGCCAATACTGAGAAGTTGTCTGTCATCTGTCAAGCAATTCACTGCTGATAATATTGATAAATAAACTATTTTTATATTGGGTCTTACGTTCAAGTTGTGTTGAATGCGTTGTAACGTAATAGGGTTAGTTCCAATTTCCTACTCGGTGATATATATTTCTCTGTTTACTTTTGGTCACTGGCTGCCTGCACCTACGGCGGTAACATTGCCATTCGTCGCTGTGTTCACCTCGTGAGCGGAGTTTGATTCCGTGTTTACATCGCGTTTTCTCGCCAACGAAGCGTAGTACAACCGCAGCGCACACGACGCACAACAAAACACGATCGTAAATCACATGACCTCGAGTGCGCAACAACGTATTTTCGCGCAAATCGTAAATAATTCTGGAATGTGCACTTGTTTGACAATCGCCAGCGGAGAAAACAAGGAAAATAACCAAGTTGCCTACTTTCAGTCTGGGACATACCTACTTTTACTGTTGGCAGCTCTGATTTGCAATTCTAGCGCCAATCACGGCAAGATTTAAAACTTGCTAACAAATTTAACATATGCAATCCAATATACACAACAATACCTTTGCATTTCAATTACTTGTTATTATTGTAACAATATGTAATTAGTACACACAAAAAGTAATAAAATGAGGAAGAATTTGTAGTAACAATGTAACTAAAATGTAGATAATTGCATAGTCTATTATCTTATATTTGCAGTGTGTGTGCCTAAAATGTAATAAATGCCACTGTTTTACTGATAAGCAAATAAATTAGGACTACATTGTAATTATTCGCACATTTATTTGCAACAATTGCGCCGCATACACATTCAAATACTCAGAAATATATTTAAATGTATGTACTTCAAAAAATACGTCAGAAAATATCCTCTGTAAAACTTAACGAGTTCAAAAAACATCCAAAAACTTACATGCGTCGTTAAACATTACATGATTACTGATAATAGACAACAGTATTCCTTAACTATATTAATATTGTTTCGAATCAAGTTATATGTTTGAGCCGTCAAAATTTTCAGCAATATTCTAGACATTGAATTTTATTTCGAAATTTAAAATGGACGACTTTTCTTAAACTACACACAGTAAAAAGTTGTTTTTTCGTTGAATTAATCTAATCAGACTTTTACAGCGTTTATTTTGCATACGTACATTTTACGCGAGGACGGTTGCATTAGAACTGTGAGCTGTTGCAGGGGTTGAAGCAGAGCTGGCGTGCAGGATCATGTTGCGAGGTGCAAACGTGTCGCAGGTAAGATTTTCTTTTTTGTGCACACGTCGCACATGGGATCGAAGGTTGTCTCTTCTTGCTGAACGATACGAGCAGTATGGACAGAGGTGTGGTTTTTCACCAGTGTGCATTCTTCGATGTTGAATTAACTAATGAAAAATAAAAAATTCAGTTTAGTAAATGTTTCAAAATGGATACCAAATTGTTTGGTGTAATATGGGTTGGAGACGTTAAGCCTAAATAAATATAAATTATATTTGGTTTAAATGCAAAAAAAACTATCGTTTAACTTTAATTACAAATAACTTATCATTCCAACTAAAAAATCCCAGATTGTAAAAATTATTACAAATAATTTTTTTTAAATTCATAATTTTGCCGCAAATTGTTTTGAGTACCTAATTAATAACAGTGAAAAAAATATTTCGTTGTTTTTAAATACTATCGATTGCAAAACGGTACTTAAAACATGAATGCAACGCATTTATCAAATAGGTACTAAAATTGATAGCATGCAAAAATGTCATTTGATCGTGAAAATATTTGGAATCTCATCGTTCATTACTTCGTTAGGACATTTTTTCGTTGTTTATTAGCTACACAAAATAAAAGTATGTAAAATATGAACACTAATTATTTGTATTTGTAGAACTAAAAAAGAGGAATTTCCACTTACCTTTTTCATCTGCAATGTGCGGAATTTGCACAAATCACAACAGAAATGTTTCCCACAACGATGTTTGACCATATGTGCCATCAACAACGGCTCCGAATCTCGATCCTTGCCACAAATCGGACAGGAAATTCTCGGATTGCCTTCGCTGTTCGTTGCCTGCTCGCAATCTTGTCGCAGATGTTTAAAGAAAGCTTTCTCAATTGTGCACGTATATGCGCAAGTCGGACATTTGTATTCTTCACGTGAATATCTTGAAGAAAGCAGTAAAAATATTTTACGATAAAAATAAATCGATTTTGAAAAGTTTAAATTACAAACCTGGTTCGTTGAATGCGTCTCCTACTGTGTAATACCGTTGAACTCGGCGTTGTTGAGCGTTGATCATCACTTTTGCTCGAATCTGCGAGACTCACGTCATCTTGCGAATACCTTTCATTGTCAGGTTCGACTTCGACTTCGGAGGCGTCAGATTCATCATCCGAAATCGTCGCTTCGGACACGTCGCAATTCAATGCATTTTCCGAAGCGAACAAGTGCACACCTTGCATGAAGTATGTTGTTGGCAGGGCGCAAACACCCTCGGAATTTATATTCCTGTATATTGCGTTCGCCGCTATCAAATTACTCCACATCTTTATCAAATCCATGTTTTTATTGTCCATTAACAATATTAAAATTTTGTTGTTGTGTATTGTTACATATTTATGCTAAATTTTTATTTTGTAAGTAACGATCTTCACTAGAGTTATTATTTGTTTATTTTTGCACTAGGACATACGGGTTGCCGGCGCCGCGTACAACTGACGATCGCCAAATGTCGCGTTGTTGTTTATTTGTTCGTTGCGGCGACATTGTCGTCGATGGAAAAGCGGTGGAAATAAAGAAAACGTTTGGCGTTGCAACTTTTGGTTGATTTTCATGATTGCGTTGCGCACGCCACACAAAAATCATAAAAAAAACTTTGAGTGTATTTGGTTGCATAACATTAAATCACTATGATCACATTGGACAATGTTAAGAATTTCTGTTAAAATGTACAATAACTCAAACTTAGTATAAACAGTGATTAAATTTAGTAATTTTCAGTGAATTTGTTTCACTTGTAACGCGTTTAACTCCAATGAAACTATGTTTGTTAGTATGTTCAATACTGAATAGTTGGTTGCCTATAGTAAACGATTATCTACAAAAAAGTTGAACACGAAAATTGCGAATAATCCAGAAAGTTATTACGTTAGTTCACCTGTTTGGATGAATGATATCACAATATGTTTGTTTTATCTCATCCTGTAACGATTTTACGTCATTTTGTTTGTTTGTTTCCCGTGTAGCATAAGAAAAGTGTCGCGACGTTAAAAATGTATGCGCGCATTGAATATGTGCATGAGTGAATAGTCGCCACCGCCGCCGCCGCCGACTCAATACGTTCATATGTAAATATATTCGCGTATTCGCGTGTATTATCCCAAAGTTTCCAAACAATTTGCCGCCGCTCGTCGAATGGGAATGTTATGAATCGATAAAAAGGATGTGGACGTATTGCGCATGCCTCACCTGTTGCCCCCCAAGCCCCAATCCTCACCACCATCGTTTCTAGCGCCGCCGCCACCGCCACCGAAGGGATGCTGGATGGGAGATGAATCTCTATAGTGAGCATCAACAGTACCAACAGACTGTTGGTCGTCGACAGTCGCTTGTTGCAAATTCCATCGAGTTGTAGTTGATAATATTTGTGTCTTTTGTCATTTTACATTTATCTGATCATTAAAGTTTATAAAAAAGTTTAAAATATCAAAATATCAACGTAACACTCATTATTAATTAGTATTTGTATAGATTTACTCCTTTTTAGTTGGTTATTTTTGTTTTATAGTGAAAATAATGATTAGCAAGTAGTTATTAATAAAATAGTGAGAATGCAACAAAGGACGATATTGGGATGCAATTGGGCGCGCGGCGGTGAGGCAGGATCCGGCGTGGTGCGACGAGCGCATCCTGCATCCGGCGCCCAGTGGAACGTGCAGGTCGTCAGAGGGAAAGTCAATGGAAAATGTTTGTGGAACGCATGTAAAGCGCTCAGCATCGGATTATTGCTCATGTTGCTCGGTGGCGCTATGGCTACAATAGGTAAAATTAATCAGTGCATAGGCAACACTGTTCACACCAACAAACATAAAATTGAGGTTAGTATTTGACATCTCATTATTTTTTTTAGGTTATTACGCAGATGATTTATCAATGGCGCATGAAGTGCGTGGTAATCATACAGTAAAAATAAAAAACGAATCACGCGGTTTCCATCTCAATAATTTATCCTACGCTGGACCGATTGTGATGGGAGTTGGAGGTTAGTTCTAATAATTTATGTAAATTGTATTTCTCTTACTGTGGACTGAATTTGATTTCAATGTTTTTCAGTTGTTTCAATATTCTCTAAATGTTTTCAGTGTCACTTTGTTTACCTTGTTTACTTTGTTTACTTGATAGATGTCGCCACTCTGAGTGTCCGCCATTTTGCAAATGGAATTGAATTGAATCTTGATTTCAGTTTCGTTCTCTCGCGGCTTTAAATTCAGTCAAAATCTAAAACAAATATGAAATCGGCATCAAATATGAAAAATGAAAGGGTGAGAGTGTTATTCACTAGTGCTTATAATTTTTTTATTTCAACTAAATTTATATTATATATATTTATCAAATAGATTTTTTATCTACATATTTAGATATTTGCGTATTACGTATTCGTATTGAGCTTTCGTACGGTTTGCTGCTAGTCTAATTAAATTCCAAGCATGCTATATATGAATTATTATAAATCGCTTCATTTTTTGATCCAACACTTAAAAAAACGTATGCAATTAGTGGCCATTCATTAAATTGTTTCCAAGAACACTTGTCGACGACCGACGACGACGTTTCGCACAAGGGCGTTCGAGGGTGTGTTGACTCTTGACATTTACACGCCGCGTAGGCAGTTGTTGCGAACCCCGAAGACAGAAAACATTCACATTTTCGCCAAACACAGCGAAAAACAATAAAAAACCCCAAATGACATTTACCATACTCGTACCTCCGACATTTTTTTCTACAATCGCTGAAAGTATAGGTATTGGCTTTGATTTTTATTATAGGAATGCGAACACACACACATTACCGCTTGGAGTTTTGGAATTTACATAATTTATGCTTATTGTTTGCCCCGTAGCGCTCGTTTGAGGTTAGATGCTTGCTAACAGACGATGGTTTTAGGTTTTATTGTCGTCGCCGCGTGTGTTATGACCTTCGAGGCGCGAGACTCCGCCGCCAAGGTTGTTCCAGCGCGACTTAAATCAGGTATCCACAAACATAACCTCAAATAATCAAAATCTAACCTCAATAAATAACAATAACAGGAAGTGGTATACAATGCACTCACCGACCAGTTACTGGTGACCGATCCGCACATGGATCCTTACGAACATCCGCTTCACAAACCGGAGTCACACCTCAACCCCCTCATCAGTCGTCGGATCGACGGGCAGTTACCCAATCGCTTGTGCAGTTCTCGAAAGGACTCGTAATTGACAGCGAGTGTCGAAAACCGGTGAATTTACTGCGCGTCTCACAGGTACCGTTAAAATTTAATCTCACCTATTCTACTTTCACTTCAGACAGACAATAAATAATTAATGCCAAGGTGAAGAATCAAGTTGGTGAAAACTCTGATTCTCACTTATTCATAATAAATTTGTCGTAAATTAGTAGCTATTATTTTCGACGAATTGAATAATCTAGAAAGTCAATTGAACGCGAAAATGTAGGTTTTCAGGGTAGTGGAAAGAGGTGCGGGCGAGGCAGGGGTGTCAACCCTTATCTACATTATTAATTAAGTCGCACGAAATCGAAAATAGGCCATTAATGTGTTAATAATTAGTGAGTAGCGAGTGAATGAGAAGCCGGGGATGACATTTGAATGGGGGATGAAAAGTTGTTAATTACCGCGTGTATATTGATTTTTAATTAAGTGTTTTTGAAAATTGATTAAAATTCATCACCGTAGGCATTTCAGCAGCGGATTTAATTTATTATTTTGGCATTTTCGCTGTTTTCTCAAATGTTAATAGATTCAGATGTTTTAAACAGTTAAATAATTTATGTAAAGGTTAAACGCGTACTTCCTGTGGGGTGCAACATGCATTTAACCCTCTTTAATGTCGCTTATTGATTTTCGTGTGCATTCATTATATCACCCAATACCGCAAATGTCCCCCAACTCACCGCAAACTTATTTTTAAATTATAGAATTCTATTAGCAAGTCACCCTCAGCCCCAGATCTGAGTGAACAAAAACCACCCATGGTCCCAGTGCACAACGGCAGTAAAAAAACATCACCGAGTAACGATTCGTGTAAAGAAGATCCGAGAAGATGTAATGTTGCTACTGGAATGAAACAAGATGGCGGACGTAGGATGATTACTCCTTACGGGGCGCTAAACCCGAAATTATTACATCGGCACGCGTTATCAGTAGACGAAACTGCGCATACTTACAGGTAATTTAACTTTGAACGCATTTTGTCGCGTTGCATGTTTTGCTTATCAAGATGATATTTACGTTTGGTTTGTTTATAGGTTAAGTCATGAATCACTGCAGGGTACAGGCAGTCAGTGCTCGATGGCGTTGGATTTACATTTGGAGTGTCCGGTAACACTAAGAATCCGTGATCGTCGACGTAATCCGTTGAGACGACAGTGTAAGATCGAAGCTGAAGATGAAAAACACCTCCACGAACAAATCGCCAGGTCTAATTCACATTCACCGCGCATGACGCACCAACATCGCACGAAGAGTAACGCGTCAGCTACAGGTACTCAAACATAACCTCATTTGGGTGTATAATTTATAAGAAGTTAATTTTTTATATTTAAAAAGGTTTGGTTGGTGATTGTTGGGGTTTGGGTGTTGGCGTGAGTGGTGTCGGTTCATTTTTGATCCTATCAATAACCGGAATCTGACCAGGTCCTTTAGTGTTAGGAATTTTGTGAGTTTTCGGCTTTGCCGTGAGCACTTCATCGATTATTCCGAATTTCTGAGCCTCGTGCGGGTTCATGAACTTGTCACGCTCCATGCTTTGTTCGATAACATCCAACGTCATACCGGTATGTTTCACATACAGTTCGTTAATCTGACGCTTTAATTTGATAATTTCCTCGGCTTGTATGAGGATATCAGTTGCTTGTCCCTGAGCACCACCTGATGGTTGATGAATCATTATTCTTGAGTTTGGTAGCGAATGTCTCATTCCTTTATCGAAATAAAAGCAAAATAAAAATTATTTCAAGGTTATTCAAAGGTCATTTCAATACCTTTGCTTCCACCCGCCAGTAGTAATGACCCCATGCTGGATGCTTGACCAACACACCATGTAGCAACTGGCGGTTGAATAAACTGCATGGTATCATAAATCGCAAGCCCTGCGGTTACTACACCCCCAGGAGAATTGATGTATATATGAATCGGCTTGTGACTAGACTCAGATTGTAGAAATAATAATTGTGCGATGATGGTGGAGCTGATTTGATCGTTGATCGGTCCCATTAGGCAAACAATTCGTCCTTTCAGTAGTCTTGAATATATATCATAGGATCTTTCACCGCGACCGGTTTGTTCCACCACAATCGGTACAAAACCCAAGTGTCTTTTTACTCTGTGACATAATGGCGGTGAAGATAATGATAAACTTGTCTTGAAAATTCTCGAACAAAGCATTATAATTTTCTATTGGATCTTTAACGACTAATTTTCAGTGATAAGTGGTTTTGATGTTTGTAGAATGTCATTTATGACATGTTTTATTTAGTGTCGGTTTTATGTTTAGGCAGTCCAGGTTTATCGCCTTCTTCGACATTCTGCGGGCAGAGAAGAAGTTCCAATGCTTCGGATTGTACGCATCGCGCGCGAACAAGAAAACGAGATTGTCACCACCAACGCGGGCGATTGGAGCGCGCCATATCTTCGGATTCGCGGTTGACTGGAGTGCATCATAAGTGCCATCATCATCATCATCATCATGTTCATCCGCAGGTTTCTGTGGAGGAGGCCGTTGTTCCAGGCGCTTCAAGTTCTGATACTGATATTACTCATACAAGGAGTATACATCCAAAAATTTAAAAACATCAAAAAGTAAAAAAAAAATTGGTTGAATTCATTTGGAGTCAAAACGCAGGATAATCATTAGTTATTGTCGTTAATATTTGTTTTAACAGATGTGTAGAGACATGGTCTAAATTTTTAACCACTTTTTCAAAATAGACTGTTGATGCACAAAAAGTAAAAAATAAAAACAGGTACTTTATAAATGCACTCACGCCAAATTTAGTAATATTAATTATAAAAAATAATATGAAAAAATGTTAGGTTACTAGATGAGTATTAAAAATGGTCTAAACTCAAAATGCAGTATTTGTACGTGTGATAGTTGACTGGTAATATATTTTAGAGTATACAGAAATATTAAATATGTGCATAGCGTTTTTAGTAGATTTAAATAGATATAACTAAACGAATACAAATATAAAACGTTGTTAGATGATGTAAACACACACGTAAACAAAACTATATCACACACAAAAGCAAACAGAGAACAATGAATAACAGAAAATATTGAGAGTAATAAATTTCGATTTTTTAATGTGAGCCGAGGTGAAATTCTTTTTTTATTACAAGTTTATACAATTTTTACTGCGGTTTTACTGGGTTGCCAGGCAAATGGAAAATTTACATTTAATTCCATTGCAGAGTATGGTACTCTAATAAATGAAGATCGTTACAATGCGATAACCCCAATACCAGATTTTCACAAATTGCACATACTCGTACTTTTGGTTATTGTGACATTAAATTGTTTTGCGTTTTTGGATCATCGACCTCGATCTTCAGTTTTGTTCTCTAATTATAAGCACCGCCGAATTGGAAATTGGAACACAAATTTAAACTGGATTGTTGTTCTATTGAATTAGATCGATGTAATCAACACGTGGCATTTAATCGGCCAGGTGTAGTTAATTACAACCCGGGGAGTGATATTTTATGGGATTCAGGTGGCTACTCGTCCTAGAAATTCACACACTGCGCACTAGCACCCCCCGCAATAATGAGTTGTGAGTTGTAACTTATTCGGTTGTGGGCTGAGGCTCGGAAGTTTCGAGTAGGTCAGCATACAGATCGCATGTCGCTCGCCTGCCGCCACCACCACTTCCACTGCCACCCCGGAGGTGGGTGTATAATAACGCCGAGGGTTGCCCACCGGCGACGAGTACGTGACGGGCAGTTCGCGTGGACGCTAACGCGACGACTTCAATTCAAAATCAACATCGGAGATATTCAGAAATATCAAGTTTAAACATAATTTTGTCTAAAATTATTTTTTATTTAAAGTAAAAGTGTAAAATGGGTTGTGCAAGTAGTAACCCTCTAGTGGAGGGTGGCAAAAACCTGATGGACAACGCCAAACATGCCACTGATAATGTTATAGGCATGGGTGAGAAAGCCATGAATGGTAAGTCAACAAATGTAACGAAAACTAATAAAACACTAACTACTATCAATCAACTCGATACTAAAATTGTTATTTTTATGCATGTACTTAACTTACTTAGTTTTTTCGCAACTAAAGTTATGAGTTTATATGAGTTGGTTGAGCAAATACAAAAACTAATGTAGGACAACATAAATCACGTTTCGTAATCGCATTCGAATTGCCTACTTTCCTACAGACGCATTAACGTAGCGCTGGTTGCGTCGACGACCGGCGCCTCCACCATGACGCTCTATTGTTATTATTTTCCTTCGTTTCGCTTATTTTTTGCTCAACTCACCATTCGGTCGACATATTGTTCGCTTCTTTTGTGCACAACGATCGATTTTTCGCTCGCCACTAATTTCACTCGGAGAGTAAAAATATTACACTTGGTTTTAATAGCTTTCAAGCTTTCTTGGCGCGTATTTTTTAAACTTAGCCCAAAAACAAAACATAAAACAATGAGATGATTGATCGTATTTCCACTGCTAACAAATTATACATAAATTGCATGTAAATTACGCTTCGACTTTGAATAATTGATCAACACCTTTTTGTGTAACACTATTTTAACCACTAAAGATCTAAAAATAGTTTTTTCTTGCAAAATTTCATCAATTTGCATGGCGTATACAATGTTTGTTTAAGAACTATTGTGGTTGAAGGACGTTCAACCTCTTTTGTTAGCAATGAGGATGTGGAGATATGCGTGTCCACTGGTGCGCCGCCATCTTGCACAACAAGTTGACGTCACGTTCCCAACGTGTTCGCACGCGAATCACGCATTTTAATGCGTCGCTATCAACGACTATCAAGCTTTCAGGGGCTTTGAACCGCAAACACTTTCGTTTTAATTACTTGCGTTTCGGAAATACCTGGAAACAAATCTTGATAATAACTATAACCGGCAAAAAAATTGAAATATGAAAGTGAAAGTTCCCAGACGCGTTATTATTTTCTTTCGCTGTTTGTATTTATCGATATGTAAGCGTTTAGCACCAGAAATAGAAATTAGAACGAACGACGACAGCCACACACACGGGTGATATGAATTATAAATTCGAATTCGTGATCCGCGGTGAAGAAAATCGATGTCAGTCGCGAGAAAATATCGATGACGTTTGGACGTCATTGAAGTTCGCTGGAAATAAGTTACGAGCTATTAATTCATTATGCATGCAACTAGTTTATGAGCATGACTAATTTTCACCTGTAAATCGGTAATTGTTAAAATTTCAAGCCCTTGAAAATAAATGAGTAATATTCCAGAAATCTTTTATAATGTCAATAATTTGCTAAAACAAAATGGCGGCAATATTAATAGCAGGTTCACGGCTGTTTACCAAGGTACACAAGTTTGCGTGAGTCTCGCGTTATTCATCATTGTTTGCCGGCCGTAAATCCGCCGTGAATTAAATATTTAATTATTATCAACAAGGAACGATCATGCAGCAAACAAAGCGGCTGAAGAATTTTATATGCATCATGAGAGAATTTGTTTGAACTGTTAGATCAACACAAACTGATATATAAATTGCTTCCGATTAGGTAGATGATGATAAAAACTACCGCTACAGTCAATGACCTAAGAGATAAAAATGATCTCTTTGTTATTTTTAATAAAAAAATCTAAAAATATAAAAATATTTCGATTTTGACCTTGACTGTCAGTTGTCACTTATTTGCTGTTGATGTTTTGTGATTATGTTCAATGTAATCCTAAATTATGTGTGAATGAAACATGAATTGCTACCAGGAAAACGGAATCGATCGTTGGCGAGTAGGAAAGCGCGCGAAATGCATAATTAATAAATGTATTCTCGTCCTGAGCGCGATTAGCATTTCATTAAATTCACACCGATATTGTTGTTGGGTAGGTTATTTCGGGAACAAGTTAAAAATTTCACCGGGCGGAAAATAGCACTTAACGTCAGCGCGCAATTCAGCTGATCGTTAGCGAACGTCAGCAAAGTCTCATTTACATTTTTCTCTTTGTTTGCTCGAGTCGGCAACCTTCAAATGTATTTTTATGGCGGTAATCAAGAAGATTTATAACAATTATGGTAATAATGTGTAAATGTATCAAAATAAAAATAACGTAGTTATAGGCAAAATTAGTTAACCTTCAAATTATTCAAGAGCTAAAACAAAATGGCCACAAAATGTTTTTATTTTTATTTCAGACGCAGGCGATGCAGTAAATACAGGAATAGATCACGTGAAACACGCAGTAGAGTCTGGTATCAACACAGCGCAAAATTCAATCGGGACAGTGGTTAACAATGTAGAAAATACTTTAGGTATTGCAAAGAACAAAGCGGAAGAAACAGCAACAATGGTAGGAGACAACGTGCAAGACATAAGCGCGAAAACAGGCGAGGTGGTAGAGGAAACTATCTCAGACGCAAAAACAGTACTAGCCTTTGAAGACGCAACCAACAAAATGGAAAACGAAATAAAAGAGCTCGAAAGCATGGAGGAAGAATCGGCGAAAAAATTAGACGCACTCAAGGATGAATTCGGCGAAACAGTGGAAGTGATGGAGACGAAAATGGAGGAAACGCTGCACATTGAGGATGTGGATGAGTCGTCTACGTCTGCGACGACAGATGGCCCTACGACCACCAGCGGAGAGGAATCGGGTGGAAAGGAGGAGTAAGTGTCATGTGAGTTACAATTAATAGAGTGGGTGTTTCTAATTGTTTCAAGAAAAAATTGGAGTGTTTTTAAATTTAAAAAAAATGAATTTGATGAAAATTTTCCCACGCGTTGCTGTTGGTGTTTTTGAATGATTTTGAATGATAGACACATCTATTCACGTGTTTTTGTTTCGATCAGCCCGGTTATATTCACCCCATAGCACCTCCCACCACTCTGAACCACCATCAACCCCAACATCATTTCGAGAAGTCATTAAGAGCATTTCGAGGTAAGTGAAGGACGAGTACTAAATTTTTCGGCCTTCGTATGCTTGGTTGTATACATTAAACTAAAGTAGGAGCTACTAAAATGACTTTCAACTCACACTGTACATACCACACTTAATTTATGCTACTTAATATATCCGCTAGATGTCGCTAAATGTCTCCTTTAAATTAATTTCCAAATAAAAAAATTATTAATAAATTAATTTTAAAGGATACGCCGGCAGCCGACGCCATGGGAGGTGGCAGCGGACGCAATCCACAATCGTCGCGTTAGCATCGCCGCCATTGGCGCATTAGAAAACTACGTTGATGCAGGTGAAGATGCCGATGATGATGCTGATTTTGATGATCCGGACAACCCCAATGCTGAATACGATGTAGAGTCTAACAGTGATGCTCATACATCGCTGCTTTCCACAAGCATCTCAACCAGCACCACGTCAACACTCTCAACGAGCAGTGGTGCATTTGCCACTGCGCCCGGCGCCGCCACCCATACTTCGGACTTTTATGACACTTCTACAACCACCACCTCCTCCAAGGATTATCCCAGTGGAAATGCCACCGCTGATATTCTGCTCAGCGATACCATTTCGATCAAGTCTTACAAGAGTGAAATTTAATACAAATTTTAACGAATTTACTCGAACACATATTGTACATATTTTAAATCGAATTAATTTAAGTTGATGTTGTGATTTATGGTTAAAAAGTTTATCGATTATATATAGGTAATTATGTGTAGAATATTTTTATACTAAATTGTAATAGTATGCGTTGAAATTAACAGAACCAAAATTGTTTCAAATTTTGGAATATATCGCTTCATGATTAGATTGCACAAAATCAAAATTATATGTAATATTAATAAAATAAAGTTTAATTCTTTATAAAACGATGACTGAAGATTGATTTTCATTAAAGTCTTGTGCTTTGTGATTCTGTTTGCTGTTCTTCTTCTATTTCTTGACTTTCTTGACTGTCTTGACATGATATTAAAAATATACGTCCATCTAAGTCTTGTCTTGGCTCTTCACTTGTTTCTTCTTTGTTTAAACCCTGTACACTATTATTAAACACATAAATATAAGGATTAAAATGATTTTTTTGAGGATAAAAGGGAGAAATTTTAATATCGGCAACCAGTTATTCTTATAGATGCAAATGTACCTTGGGTTGCATATGTTTCAAAGTAGTCTTTAAGAAATAGTTTGATGTTTTGATGAAAAACGTTTAGATGTGCTTCTCGTTTATTATTTCGATCATAAATCATCCAGCTAACATCACATCTCGAACTGACTCTGCATTGCGCCTTTGTTTCCTCGTTTATATTGTGTGGTTATTCCTTTTTGCTTTTTTGGGGAAATTTAATCTTATATAATATATCATATCATATTATTAAGGTTTGTTTACTTTAGTTTATAGCCAACTGAATACACATCATGATGACATTTATTATCGTTTACGTTTTACGTTTATTTTTATTGATTTTTGCATTAATTTCGAAACGATCGCAATCAAAAGATTAACCAAATCGTATTAGTTTATTGACCGTTATATAATAACTAGCTTTGAAACCTGTTTCGAAATAAATTCAAATTTATTTATTTCGTTTTTGTTCTGTTAGTGTACGAATTATTTACGTTGTGGGCGTTTTTATCTTATGTACAATATTAGTTAATAGCCATTAGGGTAGCAAGTTTAGGTTTTTGGTTTTACTTTTACTCCATTTCTCCATTTAGTTAGACACGTTTTGTTAAATTATGTTACAACATGCTCATGGTATACGATAAATAGACAAAAATAATTGCTATCGTTTGTTGTTTATGTTTTCCATGGATTTTAGTACTTTTTTGCAGAGTTATAATGAAATGAATGTTTTAATATATTTACTTTGGAACTTTTTGGAATGTTTGTGTTTGCGTTGTTTTTCAGTGTAGTTTACATTCGAATTTCGAACAGTTTAAAACTTTTTCTCCCTTCAAATTCGTTTCAAACAATCGTGCAATACATACTTTTGGCACGATTCAATCATATATAAATAATTGAGGAAACAAGTGGCAATTAATATTAATTAATAATACTTATAAATCTACTTTTGTACAGATTTTGCTTTTCACAAAAAATTTAAAAAAGAAAAAACTTCATAAAAAAAACCTGCAAACACACATTTTATGCAACTTTGTGTTAATAGTAATCATAAGTTTTTCATTTTTTATCGTCGTGCGTCATTTGAAGCTGTTCCTTCACAGATTGACAGCTTGCCCGGACATTTACTAATCATTGATAATGATTCAATTATTATTAGAATGAAGATGAGTTCGAAGGGCAGCATTTTATTTGTCATGATTAATATTTACTCTAAGGGTGATAACTATGTACAATTTTCGGTTTGAAATTCTCATGACTTTGACATGTCTGCTCTCCCAGTTCGATAAATCGATTTCCAATCGTGTTCTATTATATAAAATTTCTTATACCAAAATAATTCGTGTTATTTCATGATTTTTTTTTCTTCTTCATCAATGCTCCAACTGTTTTACAAAGCACAGAGAATTACACTGACTATACCGAAATGTTTACCAATCAATCGCTTAGAATATAAGCAGACAAATCAGAAACGCATTAAAGCTAAGTCTTATTTGAGTCATGTTGTATTTCCATGTATTTCCATTCATTTGCTTTCAATTTATAAATCTATGTTACCTGAGTGTGCACATAAGTATGGTCGCGCATGTTATGGCTAATCAGGATTGATTAGTAAACATTTCAATCAATTAAATTGTTTTAATGTGTCCAGCCTAACTGATTAAAAACGCTAATAATCTCTAAATGGCAAAACTGCGCGATTTATAACAAAATTTCTAACCAATTTTATAAATCTCAATAAAATACATTTGAATCATCTTAGGAATAAAATGTAAAACATTTATAAAACTTTATTCGCGTGGTAATGTTACGAGTTAATTCTTTTTTTAAATTGTTGATAACATTTTCAATGGTTCTACAATAATATAAGACACGTCATGTAATTGTAATCGTAACTAATCGCAACTAATTCGCGTTCATTAAATTCATCATCAAATTTTTTTAAATGCGCCATCTTATGTTTTGAGTATATTTTAGGTTAGCTTACAGGATTATTTCCGACGTGTTTTAGTTGTTTTTGGCATGCGTTTAATGAGCGCGCGCGCAGTGAATAACATCAACAATTATATAACAAACAGCAACAACAGTGTATGTCTTATCATTTTCTCATCATTATCTTCATTTTTTTTGGCTTGGGTTTTTCGTTTTGCTTTCTTTTTGTTATTTTATTTTATAGCAACAACAATATGTATAAACGTATATGGTATTTATATGTATATCATAGATTTTTTCCTCATTTGTAGTCTCTATGAGGGGTTATGTTTTACTTATATCATTTGTTTGGCAATTGTTTCGACTATGAAACTATTTGGCAAACCGTTTTGTGGCGGGTCATAAGTTTAATTTATTGAGTTCCCTATGGTTCGTTAAACACAGCTGAAACTTTTGTCATCATTATTATTAATGTCGTTTAATTTGAAATTCAAATATACAGATGGCGTTACTCGCTTTTATTACTGCTTGTTATTCATTATTTGCCTTCAAACTTTCTTCTACGTAATAAATTTATGAAGGTGTAATAAAATCTTGAGCCTAGTTGCAATAAAAGCAAAAAAAAACAACGAAGTTTTGCAATTTCACGTAGCAACTAAAAAGAAAGTAAAGTACGGTACACATTTATGGTTATGATACGGCCGATATTTACGATGTATGCTAGAATCGTCAGAAAATCATCAAATAACGCCATCTGTTGGAAATTAAATAAAGTACTTAACTTGTTCTTAACGGTCAATTTCCCCCATGAACGTTTTCATGAGTTTACGGTTATTATTTAGTGATATTTACAGTCTGTTTCGTGATAAAACTGATTAGGCATAGTTTATGTCTATCGGGGTGCGTGTGTTCGATGGTGTTCTTGCGTGTGGCGTGACACTAGCGTGCGAGCGTCAGTCAGAAGAGTTTCTCGATCGGCGGCAGGCGGACGTCGCGCCGCTTGTCGCGTAGATAGTAGTTATCGACGTCGTAGTAGTGATGGTAACTTTCGGTGGCAAGTTTGCGCCCAATGCGTAAGCGTAGGCGGTGCATCGCCGCCGCCGTCGTCACCGTTTCAGCAGGCGCGACCGCCTGTGGTTTACGATGGCGTGGTGACGCCGGCGCTGATTTTGCACCTGTGCCTAACTCACCGAAACCGTCGCCTGGTGCGCTCAACGTCGATGGCGACGTCGGTGTCGTACTGGCACGCAACCGCACCACGTCTACCATCGAGTTGGTGCTGCTGCACTTTGTCGATGCGACCACCGCGTCGCGAGAAACTATCGGGCTCCATCACAGCACTGTCTCCATTTCCGCTATCTCCGTTCGCTGTCTACGAATTTTCAGTTTTGTGTGATTATATTAAACACACTGTATATTCATAACAAAGCACAATGCAAGAAATAAAATAATCGCACAAAATAAACGCAGAAAGCACATCTAAACGTAAGTAAATTTGCAACACAAAAAGAATACATCACAATGTCGCCATTTTGATAGCACAAAACACGAACGCAATTCCAAAACAGTAGAAATTAGGGCACAAAAACTTAGTTAAAGTTAATTAAGCAAATAAATGTACTCGTAGACATAGATGTAAATGAAGATTCGGATGATGAATCTGGAGTTACTTACTTAAGATCGTCGGTGCTGCCGACGTTGTCGGAGGCGAGGCCGCGAAGACGCGCGCGCGCCTGCTCGCCAGACACGATGACGCTGCAATTATACAACACGCTAATTAGATACTGCAGCGGCGGCTGGGGAGCGGCAGCAGCAGCAGCGTATAGAAAGCCGAAGCGAGCAAATACAGCGAGTCCTGCGAGCGTAGCTTGAGAGCTGCATGTCAATAATTGAATGCGACATTGTTAAATCAAATCAAATTTGTGTGGCAATGGTGAATTGTTTCTTGTTTCATTTGTGACTGTAGAGTCAATAATTAATTATTCAACTCATAGTAAGACATCAATTAACAAAACCTGCTTTGTTCATAAATGTGATTAATTAATTCATTTTAGAATTTCAATTTTTAAATATAAAAAAATTCTCCAACAATAAAATCTTGTTTGTTTCATCTCGTTTTGATCTTGTTCTTGGAAATCGTCGTTTTAACCGAATCAATGCTTTTTTACCCTCCTTGAACTCCCTTGACAATCGGGCTGTTCACATTTTTATGAAAAACCCAAACCTTATCGCACATTTTTTTATTATCCGCCGTCCTTTCGTATCGATATCCACATTAGATCATCCTTCCAACTTGTGAGGGTTATTCTCATCTTAGGAGAGAAAAAAAACGCAATAATGCGAGATAAAACGAACCTAATCGAAATATCCCGCAATATGTGAACTCTCAAGTCTCCGGATAACTTGTTTAACCTTTCAAAAATTGAGTCCTGCATCGCACCGAAAGTTTACCTTTCGTACCGTTAAAAAAAGAAAACGCACGAAGGTCACTTTAAGGTCAAGTGAATTTCCCCCCGACATGAAAGACGCATCTCGCCGGCCGGTAAGTGCAATAATCCGCTTCCATTTCTATTCCACATCCACATCCGGCTTGATTTTTCCGTTTTTCCGCATTTCTTTTCCGGCGCTTTTTTTCTCTTCTTTAGTTAGGTACCTACATTCACTTCTTCTCGAGGTAGATTTAAGAGAGGAGAGTTTAATGCATTTAGACGACATGATTACGCGTCTACTCATGTACTCGCCGGGTTCTTCACATCCCTTTTTCAGTTTACATCCGGTTTCTACATTTTCTTATTACAAGCATGATCGACGAGTAGGTGTAGGTACACACGCTTGCACAAAGAATGAGTTCTTCATTCTTCAGGTTCATACACAAGATAACGAGTATAAATTTTGTAGTCCTTTGAGCGTAGAACAGCGACCGGAAGAAGTAAGTACTGCGCGAGGATGTGCGATGAGATTGTCGAATACGTCGCTGTGTTTCGGAGTGTTTATGTCTGCACTTGGCACGATATGTCGCGTTTCATATTTAAACATCTCGCAGAGGGGTTGAGAAAATGTTCCCGGTGGAGAGATGAAAATCACTGCGCGTAAAGTTTTATAGTTAAACTAATGGATTCTCATGTAAGTATTTTTTAACAAAAACTTCTTTATGTAAAAAAATCACTATTTCATGTTTAATGATAGATTTGCTTTTTTTTTTTTGGAAATTTCCAACTTGATTTAACTGCACTAATCATTTCATAAACCCCCAAGCACTCTGAAAGTGTGCAGAGTATCTACTTAACGAGCCATTAGACTTTAATTCGCAATTCACCTCGTAATTGGTGCACTTTGCACCCTCTTTTCCTCGTTAAATCAATAATAAAACATGAAATAACTGGTAATAACCTCAATTTTCAACTCAAACATTAAATGTCAGTGTCTTTGTGTGTTGTGTTGCGTTTTGTTTACATGCAAAATTGTAAGCACAATGCCTTCAGCACACAGACATACAGTGTGGTTAAAGAGACATTAAAACATTCAGAGCACGTAGAAAATTAAAGAAACACACAAAGATATTATACATAGAGCACATCGAACACGTTCGGCTGGTGGCGGCTTGTGCTGTTTTTTTTTTTCAATCACTTACTCAGGCGAATGGGGCGGGCCAAGACAGGCCGTGAGGCAGGTGGGGCGGCGTGGCGGACGCTGCCTGCAACGTGCCGTATTTTGCGCGCGCGCACACAGAGAGTTCACAAAAGTTTCGTGTGGACAAGTGGACAAAAGACAAAAGACAAAACACAGTCAACAAATCGTGTCGGCACGACAATACAAGAGGGTGAGAAAAACACGCACGCAACTTGAAAACTACGAAAAGTAATAAAAAGTTTTAAACTTTTTTTTGAAGTGTAGGTAAGCACATAACCTATAATAAGATCATTTTACAATCTACTAATCGCACATTAACTACAGTTTTCTGTAATTTTGTTATAATGTTAGACTAAGTTCATCATAGATGTCGGTGTGGACATCGGAAGGATAAGCTACACCGTGTGAATTAATTAATTAATTGCCGGACGAGGCCACGTCGCAGATTTCGGCGGTCGGGCGATAAACATCCAAAAGGGGATGATTTATTACCACGCATCTTTGGCCGACCGCACCGTTATCCGGGGCTTTAATCAACGCCACCAATACAGTGGCGCGCGAAGGATTAAAGGAGCCTAACGAGATGTGAAAGCAACATTCGAAATGAGCGATTTGCACACGGGTAAATATAATTTCCACTGTGCAAACATGAATGCTCAACTCTGAATCCTCATATTCAGAAACTATTCCAGATATTACTCTCGGAAGTCAAATGTACAATATTCCCGGAACTAATTTCATAAACTTTATAAATTTAAAAGCGTGAAATATTCGTAGAAAATATTAAATTGTGCGTACGAATGTAAAATTTGAGTGAAACTGTGCAGCCAATTAGATTACGATCAAAAAACAAGTAAAAAACCGTCTTAAAATCGACGTCAAAAGTGATCATGTTCATTCTCATGCATTCCGAAATATGAAAATGAAAAATTATTAAATGTAATCACTTACCGTTTACAAGCTGGCGGTGGTTTCAGTCCGTGCGACTCCAGCTCCTTTTCCAGCTGTTTACAACGCATCTGCGAAATATCCAGCTCCCTCTTAACCTTCCACAGGTGCGTGTCGCAAATCGGATCGCGACATCGATGATTCCTCAAAATATCCTGCGCCTCAAAACCGCCCCACGGAAAGTCAAACTTTTCCCCATCGATAAACTTATTAGCGCGCAACACCCTCCTCGGTCTGTTTTCGCTAGGTGTTTCCTCACGTATTTGAAATATAGCTGTTCCAAGAGTAGCAACAACGCAGCCAAGAGTATACCCGCCATTAAAAGCAGGAAAGCGGACAAGAACTGTTCCAGGGCGAGCGGGTCGGATGTTTTAACTTCCTAGCACCCGGTTTACATGTGCCGGTCATCCAGTAACGACGCAGGCGTTCAAGGTCGCCGTTTTCTCGAAAGTCAAGCATCTTTTTGTTGAACATCTTGATGTATTTGGAATTTCGAGGGAAAGCAAGCCCGTATCCGGTCATGGCATACCATGAGCCCACTGTGAGCAAACGGCAGTCCTCGTCCTGTGCGGTGAGGTAGTCTAGGACGGTGCCATCATAGATAAACGCATCCATTTCACCAGTAAGAACAGCATCAACACCTTTACAACTGTGGTCTTGTTGTATTTGCTCATATAGTTGTGCATTTCTTTGAAATACTTCGAAATAGTTGAATCGGTATGTGACCAGGGGATTGTACCGAATTTTATTAACGGTTTATGTGAAAACGGCCGAGATAAACGACTATCGTCCACACCTTTATATAAAAATACACAAAGGACGTAATATAAAATATTATTGAAAAAATAGCAGTGGTTTATTACCTGAGAACTCAAAATATTCTTCTCTGGTGATCATGAACGCGGCGAGGTTGGCAGTGTAGATGGCAAGAAAGACGACAGCAAACATGGCCCACACGTTAGTCATGAACCGTGCAGTGAAACCACGTGGCGAGTCAACATGTACAGCGGCTTGAAAGAGAACAGCCCACACCAGCCAATAGGTCCGGAAGAGTGAAAACCGATGTGATGCCGATGGCGTATTCTAGAGGAAAATATATTAATACTAAAAATGTGACCTCAACCGAAAAAAAGGCTAAAAGTATCAAGCTCTGAATAAAACCTGCAAACATGCTAACATTGCAAAAAGTTTAACGCATAAAAAATAAACGCGTCCACCGAAGTAGAATAACAATAAGGCAAAAGAAGAAAAAAGTGGCAAAAAGAGATGAAACAATTTTGGGCGGCCGGAAAGTGAGAAAAGTTTCATAATATTGCAATGTGAATAGGCTATACATATTTTTATCCAAAGTTTTTTTGTTATATAGAAAAAAAAAATTCTAAATTTAGACTTTGAAAGTTTCGTTTTGTTAAAATTTCATAAAAAGAATAAATTTCAAACACCGACCTGATTTAACGACAGTTTCATGTCGAATCCACTGGGTGAGAGCCATTCGAAGAGGAAAATCATAAAGGTCGCTGCCTGGATGGCCACAATGCCGACCAACATCCAAGAAGCGGCGTCAAAAGGTTCCAGAAAAGCAGTCGGCGAAATAATGCCAGTTCGCTTAGCAACTACAATGGCAATGCCTGTTTCCATAAAAGGAACGCTGAAATCAACCTGCAAAACAAGCGCAAACAAAAATTCTGTTACTTTAAACGTCAAATGACATATCCTTCAATTTCTGTGTTTCAAACTCGCTGTTAATCATGGCTCAATTGAAATACGATGTTGCCGACTACGACTTCTTTAATTTACTAACAAATGAATACTATACAAGAAAAAGGGTTGGCCGATCCACGTTCAGTCGACGACTTCTGTCAAAACCCGCGTTTCGCATCTCGCAGCGAACCGATTTTAGCGCGAAGCGAAAATTACGGAATCACAGCGAAATCGGTTACAAACGCGAGCCGAAGCAATATTGGTCGCGAAGAATGTATTTCATTTACTCAATGTTAATGGGTAATGGCGTCGATGGTCTCCCGCAAACAATACGAATAACATTCGTGCTATCCGGATGTAAATATCCTTCAAGTAAACTTTAAACTTTTCCTGACTTTATATTACTTTGCAGTTGTTTTCTTATTGGTTCGGTTCGTAACGATTTTATTCTTGTTGCTGCCAATCATTGAAGTTGAAGTATTTATGGGCAAGTACTCAAAGCTGTCAAACGGTCAAATGTATAGAATGTCTCCACTTGCATACGGTTTGATTTTTAACCTTAAATTTTACAGTAAATTGGTTTTATATGATTTTTTATTTATTTTTTAGGCCTGTCAGTTATGAATTTCCTTTTTAACTACCTCTACGTTCCTATTTTAATGACCGAAGTGCCTTTATTTCTGCTTGCTGCTAATCGTTTTCTTATTCAACCAGATTTTATGTATGATTGTACGCACATCACTAATCCTGAAATGCGCCCTTATTGTTACGATCACAAAGTAAATGGTAGTTTAATTGATGACACGTGTGTACACTCGTATTTTTCTTTGAATTGTACAAAAAATGGACGTATTGCTTATGTGGCACAGTTTTATTTCTGGTAATTATATGTTGATATGAATTTTCAGCTATTAAAATGGCGGATTTTACATTTTAGGCGTGATTATTATGATTTCGACGCAACAATTACTCCGGAAGATAATACTTCATTGCCTATAATATTAGTATGTTGTGTATCTTGGTTTATCTTATTAAGTGTCGTTCTCGGGGGCATGAAATGTATAGAATGGGTATGTAGAAAACATAACCTCTAAATATTTTATTGCTTTTTATGATATTTTTTCAGCTTTTTGTGATAAGTTCCCTACTCTACTCTGCAATAATCTTCTCAATCTTCGTGATGGTCATCTATACAGATGGCGCCGATGAAGGTCTGCTACAACTGACTACTTTGAAAAAATGGCCGTCGTTCCGAACGTTCGGTATGATGGTCACGCTGACGACGATTAATCTCAAGCTCATTAGCCCGGTTGGACACATGACATTCGCGGCTTTCATCAACCCGAAGGACGAAAAACAGCACAAAACCGGTGCGTGTCTGTTTGTGGAACTTCTACATCTGCTCTGTGGAGTTGTGCACATTGTGATCGTGGCAATGATCGCCGGTGTGTTATCCACACTGTACGGTGTTGACAATGCAGTCGACATGTTTGTTCCACGTAATATAATCTAATTCAACCTAATATTTAAACTTAAATCATTTCATTAACATATTTAATAATTTTAGGTGCAGGAATGTATTATGCTATGCTCGTAGAATTCCTACACTATAAAAATGTATCGAACGTGTTTATCATCTCATATTTCATGTCACTTTGGTGCCTAGAAATGTCCAAACTAGCAATAGTGGTTCATTTTCAAATTATCAACTTGATAGACTTCTTTCCATCGGTCTTTCCGTATCAGAACTATGTTAAAGTCGCATGGGGATTGGTATCATTTATTATTACTATCGCAATGAATAACAAAGTAATAAAATATATAATATAAAGAAAAAGAATTTATCATTATGCAATTTGTTTTAGTACGCATTCTGGTTCCTGCCAACTTATCATATGGCAAATGTATGTTTCATCGAACCATTTCGACTGTGTGTTTTAAGTTTTATCTTGTTTTACGTCTACGGAATTAAACGAATCGAAGATGACTTTTTGTTTCAAACCGGAAGAAATGTCATCAAATTTTTAAAAGTCATCTGGCCGCTTTATCCATTGTTTTACGCGGTAAGCTATTTATATATTAATAATTTTAAAATATTTGTTTGTCCGCGTAATTCTTGTTTTTTATTATTATTATTTTATAATACTTTATTTTTACGTGATTAATGAATTACAATTTTACTTTTGAGTATACATAAAATTTTGAGTTAACGAGAAACTAGTTTCCGTCGATGCCCTCGAGATGAAACATGTAAACTCAAAGAAATTCATAATGTAATTCATAATCACGTAAAAATAAATTATAATAAAATTTAAAATATTCTCCAGACCTTGTTTTCCTCCATGGTTTATACATCGTTGAGCACACAAGAAGGTACTGGCTTTGAATTAGATATGCCTTATAATCATCGTCACATGATTATTGCCTGCGGATTGAGCATTTGCGCTATTTACATATACGGCGCTGGATGTTTAAATTACATATACATTCTCGGAGAAATTGGATCAAATACGGTAAAATATTATTAACTTCGTGTTAAATCGGCTTGACTTAAATTAGGTAAATTTCTTTTGTGTTTCAGTCAATGCCAAAATTAATAAAACCTGACTTTCATTGGGGCCCTCAAAATCCCAGCAGACGTCGAGAAAGGAAACAATTTGCTCCGCGGATTAAAATTCGAGCCTCACGAAACCGCATACGTCTGCAACGCTTTCGCAAGGATTCGATACGTCAAATGCACGAACAAGACATTGCTGAAGGCGTAAAACGTGGCCGATTGTTCATCGATTCGGACTTTTATACCAACTGCGCGCAAAGGATCAATACACAACCAGCGAAACCCACACGCAAAAGAGATGCTATTATGAAAACATCATTTATTATATAAACTTACGACTGCTTCGCGTTCCGAGTTGATCATTAGCGAAGTCATCACCATATCCGTTTTGCGATTGACCAAATCCGCGATGAGACCGTTCCACTTCCCATTTGTATTGGTGCCCCAGCGGCCATCTTCAACACGCACCAGTTCATAGGTAAAACCCAGCTCCTCGGAGAACTTCTCCAGGAGATCGATGCAGAAACCCGAGCAACACTGGTAGAAACTTTCATTGCGGTGCGCCTGTGACATATCCACCCTGGAAACAAAGCAACAGTAAGTGCTACAAAAAAAGTTGATTCCCCGTGGGCGTAAAAATCGTTCTTAAACTTTGTGTGGATAACGCGCCGAACAAGTTGAGAATAATAAATAACAAGGTTCATAAATTCAGCTCGATGTCGATGGATATCAACAAACATCATAAATACCTAAACTTTATTGCGAAATATTGTAAATATTTTGCTTAAAAGTCGGCGAAAAAATATATCTATATCAAAATGTAGCCGGTGGAAATTGGAAAAATCTAAATATACGCGTGTACGCACGAGTGAATTTAATTTATCGAGCACTTTATATTTGCAATAGCATAAAATCCAATTTTACGCATTCCATTTCGTTATTATCGCATCGATTTCAATCAACTTCGGACTATAGATAGATTAGATTGTTTCGTGATTGTTAAAGTTTCATTCAGCGCGGTTATCAAAGGTTATGTTAGGTTAAGCTAGATTTAATTAGTTTAATGTGCAACAACTCCCTCAACCAACAAGTCCAAGACTCACGAGTCACGGAGAATATCCGGTGGCCGATGCCGTTTTGGACACTTGGCCGCTGTGCGAGGCGCTAGAGCAACTTCTAATAAGACTAATTAGCAGCTACGGGCCATAAACTAACGCTGCTGCTCTTGGTCATGTCGTCTAATTAATAGCGCCCTCTACGGGCAACATAACACTGCTCGAAAACTTCCGCCACGCGAAACAAAGCATAATTAAATTGGATAAACATAAACATATTGAGATCAATTGTGTGTTGGTGTGTTTTGTTTGCATTTGTGATTTAGTGTGACTTATCAGCAACGCCGGTAATGCTATCGGAATCGACATTGGCGCAATCCGACGTTTCCGACGCAGCGCGAAGACAACATCGGATGTAAGACGGTTTGCCACTAAGTCGGCGGTAAGCCCCTTTAACTTCTGCTGTCTCGATGCCGTGCGCTTGCCGCATGCCGGGTCAGGGCTGTTTGGATCGCTAAAGCCATCGGGGGCACGTATCCCACCCGAGATTTCAAATCTTAGCACACAAATGGATTTGTCATTGAGTACAATACTCGTACGTTTGACGATTAGTCTCGCCTGTGAATCGCCAAAGCGTATAAAATAGCTACAAATTGAGGTTATGTTTGTTTCCTGGTATTTGTAGTGCAGCTAACAATTTGTTTACTTATTCTATTCATCTTATCACATAACACAAAACCGCGCCGCGTCGGCAAGTTAACATTTCGCGATTTGGCGGTGACAACTTTCAGCTGGGCGTGTTTCGGTGAAGACAAACAACGCCGAAATCCATGGTATTGCATCGAATTGTGCGTCCGCTTCTCTTAAGTTGCGCCATTAATTTTACTTTGTCTACGTTTCGGGCTGGCGGCCGGCGGGGTGCACTCGAGTTACATCACGTACGCTGGTGCGTGGTGGAGGCGCCCGCTGAGCCACCCCCGATGTACATTAGCTGCTAGCGCGCAGGCAAAGGCGAAACCGAAACCGGCGCGCAAGCAAAGGCGAACGGCACGGAATGTGTGCTCGCTGATGTATAGAGCGCCGTGGCTTGGCGGCCGAAGCGGCCATGATAAATTGAATTAAACACAGTGAATCACATGTTGGAAAACATACATGGGCACATGAGATGCGTAAAAAGCAGATGGGCGTATGATCAAATAGCTTTGAAATTAGGTTATGCAAACAGCAATGAATTTGGTTATCATTATGCCATCTTAACTGTTGTCGCCACTGTGATTTTGGCATTTTGTGAAGCAAAAAATAATCCGCTTAACATTTTTTATATTGCGAAAGAGAAGCGATGGAAAGAAGCTTACAGCACCCTAATTTTCAATTATTATCATTTGCTTCAATAAAGCAAAAATAATCCTTAAAAATATTCACGCTAACAAACATAAACAGCATGCTAAATATCTAATTAATGTAATTTGCGTTTATAATTTTATTTGCGTAGATATTTGATATCATTTAAGTAATAATTTACTAGTAGTTGAATTAATTAATAGCAGTTTTAGGCTCAATTTTGAGAATCGAAATGTCAATTTGCGGACTATGTATTTATGATTAATTATCAGAAGTGCTGAATTTGCAATGTAATTAATTAATAATTATCAAATTGCAGTTTCAACAGCGCATGCGCAATCAAATATTTAATACCTTCGCCCAATTAGCTTTTTAATTTTCAAATTATTTTAGTGTTATTATAACGTAGATAAACATTAATTAAATCACAATGTAGGTTAATTTGAAAGTAGATAATTTAAGCAATGAAAATGTTATTAATTCGACTCCACCCTAGCGTCTTTAGTGGATATCCCAGAATGTATGTCGCGAACTCAATTTATGCGCGCTGTCGTCGCCGTCGTCGCGTGCATGGCATTCACGAGCAGAAAGGAAATGAAGTATTTTCTTGAAGTTACATTCGGCGCATATCTTAAAGCATCTCCTTTGCTCACGTATTATCATACATTCAAAGCTGTGCAAACAAAAAGGCACAGCGAGGAATGAAAAAAACAGCGAAACAGAAAAAAATAATGCGGGAGTTGAAGATGATGTTGGATATTAAAACGAGGACATTGGCGGCGGTATGCAAACAGAGGAAAAATTCAAATGAGTAGAAAAACAAAGCGAAAGGGAGATGTGAAGGAATCGAAGTGGCGTTCCGCACGGAGAGATTAGCGGAATGTCGCTGTGTGTACTGCTGCGCAAAGTGACGTAACGCCGCGTAGTATGGGCCGGCCCCAAGCCGCCCCCCACCTGCCGACCGCCAGCTGCTGGCGGCGTCCGATCGATAGCGAATACTCGGATACGCTTGCATACTCAAACTCAAACATTGAATTTTACAAATGCAAACAATTACCTAACTTACGTGTATCTACTTGATAACTTTTTGTTAGAGTGAATAAAACGTAGTATTCAACTCAAACATTATAGACTTAATTAAACACTAGTGAGTAATGATCATTATTCACGATTTTTTTAACTGTTATGCAAAAATAATCAAAATTATCTAACAATAATCATGTTTCAAACATGACTAAATTTATAATCTAAATCATCCTCGTTATCTCGAGTAACAAACCGCACGGTATGATAGTGGAGAATCATCGCGTTAAGAGGCTTGCAACAAAAGCCGTGCCAACAACGCTTGAGAGTAGCTGGCGCAGTAGCAGTTGATCCCTAATCGCAATCATAACAATCATGACAATAGCACAAGCAGTGAGATAACAGCAATGCTATTCCAACCGCGATCATACCCGAATCATAAATCCAGCTTTTCAAATCACTATCACAATTCAGAAAACTTAACTCGTTAATTTTGTGATCAAAAGTTGGCGTTGAATAAATACACAATACGTGCTGCTATGTATCGTGAATAATAATTTAATTAAACACGTATTTCATTAATTAAATTGCAGATTACGCCTACTTGTGCCTTGGCAGGAACAGAAGAGCATTTAAGTCGTCTTGTGCCACCCTCGATATAAGTTGTGAATACGACGTGCAAGTTTCGTTTGAAACTTTATACTCGAATTTTAACACAATTCGAACCGATTACAACTTCTGTAATGCGATTTATTCGCAACTTCCGAGTCATGCCGGCAGTCTGGTGCTCAATTAAAGAGCATTAACTTGTTTAAGACACATAAACTGTCTGTGTTTACTTACTCTTCCGACGATATTATTATCGACCTACGACAATAAGAATTATGGCCATATTGTTTCATAAATAAAGCTAGGTAAAATGCTCAATTTCAGCTTTAATAAATGAGAAATGCAAATAGTGCACTTTAAGAAAGCAGAAATTTTATGCAAATAAATGCAGCGCCATCTAAATTCAAATTACATAACTAAAACTATGATTGAACTTCTATAGAAACTTTCATCTCTTATTTTACTCCTTATTAATTATAATACCGTAACCAAACTTTATAAGATTACCCGCAACATTTATCTGAAGATAAGCTGAAAATTTCTTTCAAATTGATTCAACCGTTTTGGAGTTTATAAGGAACATACATACATACATTTATAAATACAACACAAAATGTACAAAACAATTATTTGGTATTGATTTTAATTTGTTTTGTTTGTTCCTTGAAAAGTTACTGTCAGAGTGCTGGTTCGATTTGCATTCTATGCGAGTTTTCTCATCGAATGCGATGTCGTTTGCCGCGAGCGATTTTCCCATCCACATTTCGATCTATTCCTCCACGTGTGCAGCGTGTGCTAACAGGTATCGAAAGCCACACGCAACAAGCACCAGCGGCAATACATTCCAAAACCGCAAAGCGAATCGAATTGATGGAAATGCAAAGTTTCGGAACACAAGTGAAAACTGCAATTTCACACATTCGCAACTTGTTAATAACCGTTTGCATGAATAAGCATCAAATAAAAACGGCTTTAAACGATCATAACCTCAAATCAAACGTTAAATCCTATTTGTTTACGGCGAAACCTGCTGCGTGTAAATGTAAATATTGAATTGTTGGCTAGATTGCTAGAATGGTGTAAATTTGTGTAAATAACACGAATTGGGAATCGAAGTCTGCGCCAGCACAATATTCATTTATTCATTGCGGAATTAATTACGGCAACCAGCTTGTTGTTGTCGATGCTTTGCTTGCGCTGGCCGATGTAATAAAATCGTATACTATAATAGTCACATCTAGAGTTTGACGGCCGCATGAAAGCTGCGTTTATTGGTCATTTTATTTCCGCGTTTTGCAAACACAAACACCAGATACGTTTTACGACGCAATTAAGCAAACCGTAGTGCTTAGCGTAAAGTCGGCGCGCTATTCTTTACCGATTCCAAGACGTTCGAGAAGAATAGGTCGCAGAAAAACACGGTCTTTATGCGGATTCTTTTGTCCCGCTACATTAAGCAATTGCCATACGGAAGAAAAACAAAATAAACTTTGCTTAATCTGATGAGAGGTAATTTTGTTCACTTGGTTGCATAACTTTCTTTAAATACTTTCTATAAAAGTTGAATCTTTAGATTTTCAAAAGAAGAATAACGTGAGGTGGCGGAATTTTATGTTATTGAGGACGTGAATAAAGAAATAATCGAGTCTGAGTGCCAACGGTGGAAACTTGGGATGCGCGGCTGCGAACGTGCGTGACCCGAGTGGCAGACGTGATCGCCATCTTTAAAATTCGTGTCAAGTTCGACGCGAGGAAAAATAAAATTTTTAAAGTTTAGTTAGCGAATAAAAGCAGTACGCTTCGTTGAAAGTAGTGTTTTTTTGTAGATAATTACTTACTCCTTGATTTCTTTATCCGTAGCTACCCGACAGAGGACGCCTCGATCCATGGTGCACTTGCCGGTGACAGGATCGGGCGGCGCAAGATTGATGTACGGCGGCTCCTCGAGAAAAGTGATCTTCAGGTGGAATTTCTCGGGAACGCCCTGCGGCGGCGTGTGGCTATTGCCAGGCCAGACAATGTCCTTGATGTCGAGTCCTTCTCGCTGCCACGATTTCCAAGCACCGATCTGAAGCAACAAAAAATAACACACTGTTATTACACGCCTAAAAAAAACACTTTTTATTATTTCAAACATAATTATTATTTTATACAACACATAAAAAATAACAACATGCCTCCATTATTTTATTTATTTATTTAAATATGATGTAACCCTGTTTCATTTCACATTAGTAACCTAGAAAATGTGAAATGCGCTAGTTTCAGAAGTAAATTCGAAATGAATGCTAATTTAATGCTAAATGCACCACCCTAACAATTTCCTTTCTTACTGATAGCATCCCTAGATAGTTTGAGCAAGCCTGAAGGGCGTGCGAGATTCTCCTCTATTTAGTTCCGTCGTATACAGTTCTGTCCTGTACAGTTCTGGGTTTTGCGTTCAATATTTAAACGTTCGCTGCGAGAGAGTCGTAATACCGTCTTAAGCCATGATGAACGAGGCAATACTTCGGCTGAAAATGGAAAACGTTTCAAAGTTTCTCCACGGCGAACTAAGCAGCGGATAGTACGAATTGCTTAATCAGTTGGGCGCGATCTCAAAACGCAGCGAACTACGTTTTAATTATTACTAATATTAACTAAGAGGAATGGAAATTAGTGGAAAATTAAATTTTACAAATCATGACTGCATTTACCTAGAGAAACAGTTCAAATAGTCATAAATATTACAAAAATTCCGCAAAAAATATAAAATTTATGATAGAGAGAATAAAATTTCTTTCAAGATTAATATATAAATTATGCGTCATTTTTTCTCTGAAATTATTCATTCGCATAAGTTGTGCGCATATTTAACTCGCCGGGTTTGAGCCTAATGTGCGAATAATAAGTAGTTTTCAACTTACTGTCGTGCGCTTTGCACTCATCGCGAAATGGAAACGTCGTTAGCGATAAAAGTGCGCGCGCGTTTTATCCTTTGAAGTGCAAAGCACTCCTTTCGAACAGAGCTTTCGTCCTGCGAAGGCTCGTCAGTGAATACGCGTGTAACCCAAGGACTCAAGTGAGTACTTCATTTGAAGGCATTAGAGTAATGATGTTTTATTTCAAATCTTTAAAAAACCTCACTAATCTAACTTGATCTAAGGTAATTTAAGTTCAAGTAGAAGAAAATATAAAAATAAGTCATTTCAACCAAGAATTACTTAATGAAATGTGTTCATGTGCAAACTAAGGTTGATTGAATTTCAATCATCAATAATAAATCAAAATTCTCGTAGGAAATGTGAAGTATGTCTGGCACTCATGATTGTTTTTTTCATTTTGAACCGAAACTGGTCTATAACTTTGTAATGCAAAAAAATGTAAGATTTCTTTTTATTACTATTGGAAGCATCAAAATACGATTGTAATTGGAATTGCGCTGGCGTACGAGTACACTTTACGAGTTTCACGTTTCGCTTCATTTCTCATCAATCTTTTGCTGCGTTTACCGTAAAGATACGAAATAAACCGTCTGCCAGAAACTAACTGCTCGACTTCAAGTGCAAACTCGACGCCTCCGCCGCGCGAAACACAGAAAATTCCAACACTCGCGAGAGGAAACGCGAAGGAAATGCGAGGAAAGGAAACTCATCTAGCGTCTCTAGCGTGTAAAGTCACCAAGATAGATGCGTACGCATCGGGGTGGAAAAAAGGCGTATAACAACAAAACAACAAACGATCCACTGAAATGAAAACGAAACGAACGGAAATGTTGAATCTCGGCCATGATTAATGAACACCGAATAACTACAAATAGCAGCGCATTAAGTAGCTATTAATTTCGGGTGTGAAATTTTATTTCGGTAAATAAAATTTGTGAAGCGCAAGTCAGCGTGTGATATGCGCCGACACGCTATTGGAAAATATCTGCCAGGCGCGGTCGGTTATCGACATCGTGGCACACGCTTTTGAGTTCCGCACGACCCGGAGCTAATTTTCCGCATTTTCCGCATTCCGACCGTTCCGGCTCGTCGTGCCGTCCGTTTATCTTTTCGCCGAGCGCAAATGTTTCTTTCGCCCTCCACAGGCCATTTAACTTGGCCACGCGCGCGCGCCACCTACCCAAACGTCGCGCCCCATATCATCCGCGTTCGGGTCAGGATTAAGCAAACGCAATTACTGTTTAATTCACTGCCGGAGTCGTCTCGGGTTTGCTTTATAATTTCGATCCTAATCGTTTCGGGATATATATTCGCCAGAAACGGCGTGAAAACTGAAGATAACCAGAAGTCACGTGACGAAAAACAAATTACCCCACAACTAGTGCCATCTATATTTCACTAAACTAGTTAAAAATATATATTTCTATATAGTACCTCTTCCCAGACGAGTTGTTTGCTTACGCCAGGGCGTAAATTCATGATTTTCAACTCCGACGCCCTCAAAACGCCGTCCTGAGTGAATTCGACGTTCGGCTTTCCGGTATCAGCTTCCACGCTGACATTGCGCAGATATTTGTAGAAGCGATCGCCGGTGTCCCATCGTGCTGCACCAGCACCCTCGCAACTCAATTGTGTGTTCAACGATCGTCCATGATTCTTCGGATCGTTGGTGTAGTCTTCGACACCGTAGGCGTACACTTTGATAGCAGTTGTTATCTCGTTGACGAGGCTCGAACTAGATGTGTCAAAATGTACACCTGCAAATTAAGATAAAGACAAATAACTATTAGTAAAATTGTGTTCGACACTTATACTGTAATTCAAATATTGATTTAACCTAAATATTTTTATTTTGCTGCGATGATGATATAATAGTTCGCAAGTGCAAAGTGCACCAGGGAAAACTTTAATCAAGTCAATAAAAGCAGCGCTCCGATGCCAGAAACACTGGCCGCAGGAAAGTTTTAATTAGTTGCGCGAATGTGCACCACGTCGCGCCCATTTTCCACCGAGTGCACAACGTAATATGTAAATCACGTTAAAAACATAAAAAAAAGTCACAAAAGCATTTTTACACTTATACGTGAAACAGTACAAAACATGTAACGCCACCTATGAGTCAATAGTTGTTAAGTACTCTATAACATGCTTTTTTCAAGTGTACACTTGTTGTCGTTGAGTACGTGCGAAATTCATGTCACATATGTTTACTGCTCAAGCGCTTCCAGCGTTCTGTGAAGTGTAGCACACAGGAAAATCAATTATGCCGTTTAATTAGCGACTCTCGTCTGCGCGACGCGCGGAGGCGCTCAATTAAAACGAAACTCATCGATTGCCCGCCAGGATCACAATCAAAACCCAAAACTCCCGAATTGCAACGCATATCTCTACCTATATATGCTACTAGAGTGTTCAAACACACGCAGACACCAATCAGTCGCATCAATCAATTTCTATGGATACATCAGTCATGTCGAGCATTAGTAAAAAGCCGGAAACATGTTTTCAGTATGGAATAAATATTTAAGTAAGTAGCGGCACGCCATCTATCAACGCATAGCTCTTTTATTAATAAGCCGACTAGGAGATACAAGTTTTGACAGCTGTCAAGAAAAAACTAAGCGTGCGGCGCGTGTTGATAGAGTGTCTTGTCGATGACCGATTTCTTTCTCGCGTGTTTTTTTTTCGCTTTCGATTTGGGTGAAGACACGCACTTGTTTGATGTTGTGGATTGGTGATGTCAGGGCGATGCGTCATCAATAATGTACAAGCTGTGGGTTGACGGTGTCTTTTTTTGGACGCCTGGCTCAAGGGGCAATGACGTGTTGTGCCTTAAAAGCTTTTCGCGTATTTCGAGAAAAAAAAAACACATTTCAAGCGTTGAAATTTTGATAAATTAAAGGAGATCGCAGATAAGACAGAAAATATGTTTCAATGTGAAAGAAATTTAATTGAATTTTTTATTCAAACATGAAACGTCAAAATAAATTGAAATCTGATTAAATACTCCAATCACGATGGCCTCTCACCTTTGGCAAAAGCGAAACTATCAGTATAATAGCTTATCATTACCAAAGATCTGTCAGACTCCGGAAAGGGTTAAATTATCAGTAATTAACCTCAATATCCGAGCTGATTCTAAATCATTCGCAACCCAAAACTCAAATGTCAATATCCATGCAAATATATTGCAGGTGATTAAATATAGATGGCGCAATTAAAATTAAACCGTGGAAGCGAAATTAAAACCAAACTGCCGGGCAAAACAATTTATGAAAATTAAATACGCTCGATTTGCATTAAGCGCCCCGCCGAAAATTGCATTCCATTATAATACGCAGAAAATTTAAACGATAATTATTGTTATAATCAAATTAATATCGTATAGCCAAGTGGGCAATAATTTGTCATCCAGAATTAATGATCGCCGCATATTTTGGGTCGAATATTGGCATATTGACAACGGAATGACCCGGATCGCTGAATTAAATAGATAATTGGGGAATTCGAACAATGCGCAATGCAACGCACCGCAATGACTGGCATGCTACGTGCGTATTAATGAAGTCGTAGCAGCGATTTGTGGTGCGCGTGCAAACGTTTTAATTAGCCTTTGAGCTTTAGAAAGCACTCAGGTGACATTTGATGTATGATGACCACCATTGATCTCACTCATGATAATTTCATGATAACTTGTGTAATATATTAGTAATTAATCAACGTAATGTTAAAAAAAATAGTTTTAAAAACATATAAAGCTTATAATTTGCAAACTTAAACTTAAGTTATGTGGGTTAACATTTCAGTAATTTAACCACTTCACACCGCAACCGCAACTCGAAACTAAATTATTATAAAACGCGTTCAAGTAGTAACCGCCGCGGTACACAAACTTTACGTCGGGAGTTTGCAGTAAATTTCAAAAGCGTTTCATTACCGGTACGTGTATACCACGTAAATGCTCGTCTGTGTAATATAGAATTTTAGAACTAGCAAATATAATATCTTGCGATGAGACAATTTGTACACTCGATGAAATGAATAGCGCAGATTTAGTTCTTGCAGTTGCATATAAATTTAATACGATTTCGAGGTTTTCATAGTATGTGACTAAAGATACACTCATAATATATTATATTATATATAGTATTATCAAAAAAATAATTTGTTTACGCTCAGCCAAGCGAAGAATTCATCAATTTCAATTCCGCGTTGTCTTACTTGCCATTTAGAGTAATTTCTATAGTCACGCACAATGCGGCGCAACAGAAACGGCCGAAAAATAATTAAGGAAAAGTCCGCGCCGAGTTATACCCATTCTGATACGCATGGACGCACAAAATATTTATATCTCTGAGCAAGGATAGATAACACTCCGGGGTGGTTAGCGGGTAATTAATGGCGGATTTAATTGCTTGCGTAAAACATCAACACTGATGACTGACACATTTTTCATTCCAAAAAAATTCATTTCAAGAAAATCTAATTTCGAAAATTAAGAACTACGTAAATATAGATGGCGTAAGTTGATAACATAATAGAAAATTATTATCAGTGGTAAGCTGGTGTATTATTAAGTAATTAATTTTGTATAGTGTGTTCGAAAATTAAATCAAATGCGTTAAGTTTTAATCGCCGCTTTCACGAAAAGTCATCATGTGTAACGATGACGCGCTCGCCAACATTAAGCTGAAATTATAATTAGAGCAAAAACTTGCGCACCTCTGATGCTTGAGAGCCTGCCAGCGACGCGTCCAACCACGAAACGTTCATTATACTTGCTTCCGACCAAAACCACCCCAATGCTATTAACATTGACGCCACAAGGGTTCACGTCATTGACACGGCTAGCTTACAGAATAACAAGGACAACAACAAGAGCGACTTAAACTCGAGATGATTACTTTTTATTGCACATCACGACGTGGAATAAATCCTAAACAATTTCCGAAAACATCATTCTTAATTATTTCGCCATTCGTTCGCAATATTTTGCGAATAATTAAAACATTTTCTTTATATTCTCTGACACTAATTAAAACTTCTTCGGAGCGTTTTGTTCCACGCTCGTAAAATAGATTAATTTCGAAAACGAAACCATTTTGTTCAGACTGAAGAAGAAATAAAGACAAGGTTGTTTAATTACACGTTTAATTACAATTTGAATATTTATAACGTTGATTTTTTTGTGTTTAATATGCGAAGATGTTAGATTAGCTTTCGACTATCATGTATCAGCCAAGGGTACTGATTAATTCAGTCAGTTTTTGTCGCTTTTTGTAAAGTGTAAGATTAATTTATATGCAAATCTACTCGGTGAAAAGGATGCAAATTTATAAAATAATGAGATTATATATTTTATATATCGTCAATAAATGTATATTTTACAGCCTAGGAGTGTGTAAATTTAAAATATACATTTTTTGCATTCATTATTCAATATGCTATTTTATGATCCGTAAAAATATTTTTCTAGCAGATTAGCCTGCGTCTGAGGGTTCCAATTTGCCCGTAACACATTATCCGAAAAAAAGCAGAAAAAATGTCAACGTCAAAGGTGTGGTAAAGGTGCGGCGGCTTGCCGCCGGCTGTTTTTCCACCTCGCCGTCCTGTCACTGCACGTGCGTTCGCGCTGTTTATACCAGCCGGCGGCAGCGTGGAGACGACAGAGTGCGTTAGCATCCGCCGAACGTGCGACGCATAACTCTGCGTCATCGAAACAAATGTTTGCTCGTTTCGCTCATTTTGCTATATCGACGAGATGTTGATAAAGGAGATGAGAGCCGAGAGCCGGCGATTGGGGTGATAAAGGTGATAAAGGTGATGGCAATGCGGGTAGATTTGGCTTCCGTCGATGTTTCTTCGGTGACAAATTGATGGAAATTGGATGGGAAATAATGAAGGTAGTGATAAGAAATGAAATGCAGAAAAAATTGCTCGCTGAACTTAATCAAAACCAAATTTGACAAAGTGAGATAAAGCAGGAAGTAATACGTGGTGGAGAAAAAATTGAACCGTAAATTTATAAATGTTAAAACCATGTCATATAACTTTTTATAAGGGTTACGTTACCTAAAACAAGTAGTAAACCTTTTTGCGTGTCGTAATTCGTAAGTGTACGGGTAAATATTTGCTAAATTATTTCATACGGTGGTGGTTTATTGAATAGGGGTGGTTTTTGCAAATAATGTTCGACCTATTTTCGTCGGCCAGATGCGCTCCGCCGGGTTGGCGTTGTCGACTCGCCGCAACAACGTTCTGACGCTGCGGCGCATTCTTTGCTCGCCGCCTCCAACGTCACTGCCGCCACCGCCACCGCTATCGATGTGCGCGCTCAACACGTTCGGCGCTGGCGAGCGTGCACCAGAAAGGGTGTGGCATGCTTGTTTTCAAAAAGGGCGGCGGCGGCAATGCTGGCGGCAACTCTGCCGCCCTCAATTTACTCATTAGCCTTATTATTTATATATTAAAAGAATTTAATTTTAATTATTATTTTTTAAAATATGAAAAAACAATCAAAATTTGCTATTGTTTCATCAACCTCCCAACTTTGGTTAGGATTGTTTTATCCTAAACCAATAAAAATTGTGTTTTTTTAGACAACCTAAGAAAACTATTTAAACAAAACTGACATTCAATATTCTTCGCTGGGTTGCGATAAATCACGGAAAACTGACTCGTGCAAAACTTGCCCCGGCAAAATGAAAAGTATCTGAAAACAAAGTAAATGAAAAAATGTTAAACCAATCTCGTTGGGACGGTATGCTCGCCTCGACCTTTTTCTGCTTTTGCTGTTGAGAACCCACCCTCTTTGCAGTTATTTTTTTCAATTTGTACATTCATTTTACGCTGGCGCTGCGTGTTTTTGATGTTTGCTGTTCTATCCTTTGTTTCAGTAAATCGCGTGTGCTTCATATACGCATGCGTTATTCTTTGCTTATTTAACTTGCGTATTACATTTTTAATATGCCAATTACACCAATTTAAAACTACAATTATTTAATAAGCTTCTAAATTTGCTGTTAATTACGGCAAGTAATAAAAATCTTTTTTTTCTCTTTTTTTTTTCTTTTTTTTTAATTTTTCTGTTCTAAATGTAAATTACAGTAACAGAAATATAATGATTGAATCGAGGAATACCTCTAAATGCAAACATAAAATACTACTCTCATAAATATTAAAATTACTCCCAGTATCTCATATATAGCAAATTTAATCTGATCATGCAGAAGATTTGTCATACATCTAACAGGATTCGCAGAATATGAGCAAGCTACCACTACCTATGTCTATGTACGCGTATGCAGATTGCAGGCATGCGTCGCTGTCGTTCATTTATTTCGTTCAGACGCTGACGGCGTTGATTTACAAGTCGGCAACGTGCGCGCATCTTTGATATCCTTGATAGTCGGATATCTAACAAGAACACGTAGTCGTTGTATTTCAACGCGTTTGCAGATATTCAACGAATGCAAGAAACCAGACCACTTGCAGAAATGGAATGTGTTCGTATTCCGGACGCACAACCCTCGGCTGACAGATCAATTGCAATTTTAATTAAGTGCTTCGAATCGAACTGAGAGAAAATGCAATTTTCTAGAGCTTAACTGCTTTGGAACACAGGCTAATCGAAGATTAATAAAAGAAAGCGCAGAAGAAAATGCGATCACTTCTAAGATAATATTTTCTTTCCGGGTTACGCAAACATCTAATATATCAAAATATAGATGTCGTTAGTAATTCATATTTATACGTCGCACGAGTTGCATACGAGTAGATGTTATGCATGCGTGATCCTGCACCAGCCGTGCACTTTTACGGCACTTAGTAAGCTTTTAACGTTTTTCTATCGTTGGCCTCCATACGCCACCTATAAAACAAACCCATTATCGCGGCTTCCAGCGGGGTTAGTGCCATCGACACATCCAGTCCGACATTTACATAGCACACAGCGCCATCTGGTGCTTTTATCTAGCGACGTAATCGGCAAACAATGTGTAGTTAACATCCGTAACGACTAAAGACCCACCACACAACACGAGCTTAGTTATGGTTTCACTCTTTTGTGTCCGGCGAGAAATATGCCGGAGGTTTTATTATACTAGTTTATATAAAGAGAAACCTGTAAATTTTGATAATTTCAGTTTTTATTTTTAACTTTCCGTATCAATCTTCGTAAATCTTGAACTTTTTTAATTCGTTGTGTTAGATATGAATGTTTTCATAACAAATCAAAAAGTTATACACCGCAATGCAAGTGTTTGAATTGCAAAATGGCGTAATGCGCTATGTGAAACGCTTTACGCAAAGATAAAGTTGAGAATGGAAGGCTATAAGCCGCTTAAAACTTGCATTTTCAACTTTTCGTTGCGCTTTCTGAATTGTAATGACCCACGTTCGCAATAATACGAAATATAAACTTTTTTGCCTACCGGTACAAGAATTTTACGCTTCCGTAAAATAGATAATGGCGTCGCTTTCAATTCATAACCTAAAAAGCTAAATTTTTCTTATTTTTCAACGCGGTATTTTTATCTCAGTAATAAATTTCTAAGGAATACTTTTCATATTTTTTGACACCTTGAATGTGATAGCTTTTACGCCACTGATTGCACGCTAATGGATATCTCCATTGATGTGCATTTAGAGGACGTCTTCGTGACTTTATCGGATATGCACCCGCCACGTCGCGGTCCACGTTGATGAACGTCATCGTGACAAACACAAATTGCCTGCAAGCGCCGCGGAAACTTATTCAAAGCATAGCGAAGCGGAAAGATAAAAGCTTCCAGCAAAAGCTTGGCTTAGAATTAGATTAGAGCAGCTAAGACATTAATAAAAGATAGCTCAACAAAGAACGAAACCAGGTTTTTGTACGAAACCGCTCTCTGTCTATCTCTCGAGTCTTTTCAAAGCACTTCTCAAGAGCTTTCGAAAATAAGATGTTTTTTTATAAGCGCTTGCTGCGATTGATTTACACGCCAATAATGTTTTGCTTTTTCACGCTACAAGATTTGGAGGAGGGTGTTACCGATGCATGGCGGAAGCATGGCGGAAGCTCTCAAGGGAAGAATTCATAAAGTATTCATTTGTGTTTCACGCCTGAAAGCATACACACACTGGCGATGTAAATAATGCACGTCCTACGAAAGTGCCGAGAGGGATTAAGACCAAAGATTTTTGCTCGCAATAAACAAAACCCTGTTGCGGTTGTGGATTTATGTGATATTTAAGCAATGTCGATAAAGTAGAGCTCCCGGAAATAAGCGTGTTTGAGTAATTTCGGTTAAACAAGCGTCACTTACCTAGCATACCGATGGGAAATTGATTTGGCGCTTGAAGGGGATTCTCGATTACGCTCTGCGTCACCACCCACACGTAGTTTTCGCCGGTGAGCTTAAAATCCCTGGCGGCGGTGAGAATGTCGATGGCCTCCTCACGTGTGCAGTACAGCAACATCACTCTCGCCTCGCTGTCGACCAACGCAGCCAGGTCGCCGTTCTTCGCCACCAGCACCGCGTTTAGAATCGTAAATTTAAAACGATCCTGAAACAAATACAGCATTAAGTATTTTCGTTTGCTTTACATGCGGGGATGTGCCCGAATGCTGGGCGTCTGACATTTTTGAAATAACTCGGATGTCTTGGATGTTAGAAGGGACCAGTCAAGCGGAATTTGAATTCATGGCGCGGGTGCATTCTGCACGTTCTCAGCATATTTTTACCCCAAAAAAGGTTTTCTACGTTAAACTGCGGTGCAAGGACCCTCAAATGGTCATATTTTACGATCAACCAGTCAAAACTAGTCGATTTAATCGCGTAAAAGCTTTTCAAGCGCAATGTCAGCAAAAAATTATTTACAGAGCTCTGCAATGTCGGTAAACAAGCATATTCTATTAGTACCATGGCAGTAATACCAGCAATTGTGGTTGTTTGCTTGACTGTGAAATATTAGACCAAAATGTGTTGTTGGCATACGAATAATTTACGAAATCATCAACGGGTGCATTAGAAATTGAAATGGTCCAAACACGCGCGATTGTTTGGCATTGCGTGCATTAGACGCGGATTTATTCAACATCCATCCATTACCGCCATTGTCAGCTCGTTATTTTATGATGAGAATGTGTTCTCACGTCGAACGCGACCGAGAATCGTTCGGAAATGGTTCAATCATCATAATAACGCGAACAGATCAAACCTGCCAACATAGAGTTCATCATTTGCGGTTTTATTATTCTTAGCGTAATCGATTTGCGATGTTTCCCCATTTCCTTCTATTCTATTTTTTTCTTTTTTACTTCGCGATTATTAATAGTAGTTTCATGTTAATAGCCTTAATGTATGAATGATTTGCCGTCAAATAAATGTCAGTAATCTAGCTTTTCGTGAAAGTATTTGTTTTCAACTTTTTTGATGTTTTCTGACGTTTAAAAATGCCCTTAATGCCCCCACAATGAAGAAAGCAGTAGCCGAATCTTAGAATAAGGTTTATAGATGTGATGCCGCAGTAAGCTTACTCACTCTTGGGCCTTAGCCTCTTCTTTTCTTACACCAGCCGTGATAAATCATTCGATTACATTCGCACCGCCGATTTATAACAAAAACCCGGCGGACAATGATCTCGTCTTGTCTTCTCCCAAACTAATCCACCAAGACATTCTATAAAAACAATTCATTCGCACTAAATTCGAACCCAGTGTTAAACTTAAGCGATCATTGAGCTAAAAGTGTTTTGTGATTAGGTTTATTTAGTCGGTAGTCAAATTACGCTGAATTGTTTGCAGTTGGGAGATAATGACAAAATCACTGATCAAGCGGTTGTTGGAACCGGGAAGTCTCCAATTGCATTTCCCATTTCGACATCTTCATCATGAAAATGGGCGTTGGCAGCATCACCCGCGGGGTTTGAATCGTGGATCGGATTATCGCATAATTCGCGGCGGCGCTCACACGACCCGATTTCGGCGATCGAAAAGGTCGTTATTCTCCATGCGCATTGCGGGCTGGTGGCGCACGAGCACATACTCCAACATAACCTCACCATGCAAACACGCTGTAGTAACTCACGGATTTGGATTTATTGAACGGATTATCGTCGAAATTATTTGCGCATCGATTCGACGCAAACTTCTCAAGAGAGACGTGGGTAATTTAAACTTTACGAATTTCTTTTCCGAACGAAAATGAAGTATTTTACTGCGCCACCTATCGATCATTATTGGAACTACTCGATAAAAACTCATCAATTTTTTGCTAGTGCCATTTAAAATGTGTTAGATTACTTTTTTGCGCGTGTAATTTATTGTCGTCGCAGGAAAAACGATTCCGGACCGGCGAAAAATAGAAAACTTTCGATAACTCTTTTCGTCTCTCGACGCGCGTTTTTGTGTACATTTTACGCGAGCGGCTTAGATTAAATTTCCTTTACGTAAAGTTTTCCAATTAATCTCGCGCCTTTCCAACGCCGAGACTTTTTGCGCAGACATTCGGCCTTCATTTTTTTTACTATCTTGTTACTTGTTACGCTTCGCAATCCGAGCATCTGATCAAGAAGATTATGCCATAATCTTCAACGCTGGGGTTCGTAAAGCGAGTGTTTTGTGTTTTCTACGTGATTAATCGTTGTTTCTGTACGTGACACCGTGACATGGAGATAGTGTGCATTTGCGCGTGTTTTTTGTTTCTCGCAAGGGATATTACAGTGCACGATGCACCCTCTAGGCGTTTACATAAGTCCGAGTGGTCGGGCGTGGTCGTGCATGAGCTAGCAATGTACTGTAGGTACTTTGGGTTGCCTAATCTCGGTGGAAAATTGCAGCGCGGTACAATGGCGTCGAAATACGTGCAAAATTGCACGAAATGAAAGGAAATTGTTGCCTGGCGTGCAGTAACAAACATACTATTAAAGCGCTTAGTGTTTTAATATAATCACAACCTTTTCTCAGAATTGTAGAGTAATTCATAGCGTCTTTTTTTTTCTCTTTATAGAAAAGTCTGTAAACTAGTGAGTTTTCGAAAAGATTTCCATCTTAATAAAATAAAGAATTTACTTCTTCTTTTGGAGTATCCTTTCAAAGTGTCCTTTCTCGTAAATTCTCACTATAACCTCACATTTCGCACGGGGCCACACAATTTCTTCTTTGTGCGCGCTCTATTTACCGGCCGAAAGTTTTCCACTTAGCTGGTCGCAGCGTGTCGCTCAAAGACTCCAAGAAGACTAAGGGAAAGGAAAAACTATGTTCGTAAGCGGACAGGACACATCTTTCGCACTTAGAAAGGTGTCTCGTTCCGGGGCGCAACCAAGTTTTAACGCAAATTGTAAAGCGAGACTAGGCAAAACAAAAAAACAAGGAAGGCTTTATGTTTGCTCATAAAAAAACAGATAGGTATATATTACTTACACCGAAAGTAAGAGATTACGAAATGATGAAAAGAAAAAGTGATAACTGTGTTTTATTTTATTTTTAAATTTTTGTAAAGTCAAATGCTTTTTTTAGAATTTATACTTCACTGCCTAAGCAATAAATTACAAATTTTCTTCCATGCTTAAAACAATCCATTTAACTCTAAAAATAAATGTAAATACATAATCGAACCACTTTAGTCGCGTTTTACGTTTTATCTCCTCGGTTAAAAATTGATTCACTTTGGATGATTTATGATCCAATCCGAAAAATTAATTTAAAGCCTTCGCTGTCGAGAAAAGGGATTGGGTGGAATATGTACGGTAACGTTTTGATTCCCAAATTGCATGTCGCGTGCGCAATGATGAAGTGTCTGCCATGACATCCTGGCCAATGATGGCAATATGCCATGTCGTCTTCGCGTGCAATTTCGGTATAACCTCCTTGTTCGAGGAGGACTAGCGCTAGTTTTCTCTTTGCCTCGTTTTCGCCGGCAGCGCAGCGTTTTGCGCCGAGTTACTCTATTACTGCAGATATGGAAAATTGAATTCCCATTCCAGTGCGCTTCGGATCGATGCTGGTACGAGTTGTGCCAATACCAAAACGCAGCAGAGGTAAAGTAAAACAAGAGCATGAGTACGAGTAGAGTGGAAAGAGTTTTGGCTATGTCTGTGGCTGGTGTGTAGAATATATATTTAGAAAGAGGACAAAAGAAAACTGCCAAATTCACTCTTCTTTACCAGGACTTTTCAAGTACTTGCTGTGTATGTTCCGAAGGGTAATAGATAACCTTGATAATAGTCTCTCACTTGAAGTATTTTGATTGTAAATTTTGTCTGTTATTTTTTCTCTTTGCATTTTTAAATAATTGTTTACTTCTTGCTACAAGATTATTTAATTTCAAAAGGTGTTTACGCGCGTCTCAGGTCTCTCATTGGAATAATATTCGCATCTTGCTGAATGAGTCGTCAAATTGCAGGACTAATGCGAATAATGAGAATAACGAGCGTCTTCAAAGTGTCGGCGTGTTTTCATTTTCCTGTTTAATAAGCCCTTCTTCCTCCCCAAGGTGAAGCGCAATTTATTCGTCACAAACAACTTCAATTTTTATCCAAATTAATGTGCGTCATTCGGTGAAATGCACAAAATTTAAAATTTATTTATTAAAAATAAAAACTACTTGCCAAAGCAACGATAAAAACTTAATTGTACACCGAGGAGAAATTCAAGAATAGGACACACATATAGACGGACTGTTCGATGTTCGTCCTGCGGATGAGTGGGACGACATAAAGCGCAAACATTGCCGGTATGTGGACGCGGTGTGCTCGAGGGCGAAAGAAAATGATAAAAAGCAGCAAACAAAATGCGGCCGAAGAGACGACCGATGTTGCGCGCCAAGGGAGCACTTTGTGGCAGGAGCTGCAGGAGCACCAGGAACGTCCGCGTTTATTTAGGTAATTTTCCCAACTGCTGCCAGGACAAACCGACGCAAACCAGGCAAATCCACAAAAACACAAAAAGGGGCAGAAAACAAACTGACGTCATACTAAAACTTCGACTTTTCTATCCGCTATATTAAAATAATTTCCAAGCATGGCGTAACGCACTGTTTTTGTACGTTCTTATGCGATATAATTACACAATTATGATAATATTGTGCTGTTAACGTCAATATTGTATAGTCTAATAATAGGAGGAGCGCAACTTGGCTCTTCGTCGTGGAAGTTTAATTAAATCGGAGGCTTTTCTCGCTCGGCGCGCCGCCAGAGAAAATGGGAAGCCGGTCCTCGCAGGACGACACAATGGCACGCAACAACGAAAATATAATTACCAGCAGCAAAGGCTGCTGCGCCTGTCAAGGACGACAATGTGAAAAACGCGAAACAGATGAACTAACCCAACGAAACAAATTGCAAATTACATTAGGATCTAATAGGTACGGACTGTACACACAACCTCTGGCTAAAAATATGTACATAATTTAAAAGTGGCATTAAAAAAATATTATCCAGGATTAAAATTATTAAAATTCATTTTCTCTGTCTAGACAGAAAAAAATAACTAAAATGTTATTTTAACTAAAAATGTTACAACAAATTGTTTGTTGTTAGCAATGTTATATCATCAACACTGCATGAATTAACAAAATCATCAAAGTTCAGCAAATTGCTGAATTCATTGATTAATTATTTTATATTTCCAGTTTCAAATTAAATAAAATAAAAGTTAAAATGAAATAAACCAATCCATTGTTTCAATTTACGAAATTGAAATAGACAATCGTGGTATTAATGAAAACGAAAATAAATAAATCCATTGAAATGATATTTCAATAATTGCGTGTTAATGGTCACCATAGCATGGAAAAACAATGTTTACAATTGAAATACAACTAACTTTTGCACCAAAAATGTGCAACATTTCCTGTCGAAATCAATAAGTCCTTGACAGCACAAAATTCGCATCCAGGTCATCCGTGGAGCGTATAAAATTAATATCGGACGCGTTCGAAATTAACTACGCATTGCCTCATTTCCATTGATCATATTTTTATTCATTGTGAACGAATAACGCTTGTTCAACTCACTGAGCTTGCCCATCGTTATAATTTACAAACGTTTATTAAGTAAATATAATTCTATACTCGTATTTTGTTCGTGTTCAGTGCGTTCAATTTCAGATCCATGTTATTGCATGCAAACAGTGTTCGTATTTGTTGAGTTAACATCATATTCTGAGAGCACTAGCATTAAGAAGCTGACATGTATTTTGTGTTCTAATATTTGGCGAGATGTGAATTGTGCGTGTAAAGTGCCTAACGCTAGAATGCATAAAATGCAAATACTGCTTGACGTCGAGAATGGCGCGATATTTTTCAAGCACTTTGCACACATTTCACGAATTTCCACTGAAAATATTTTTTTACAACACACAACAACGTCTAGTTTCCCAAGGGTTTATACTTGAGGTAGGTATGTTTAGATTTGAAATGCATTTTAACAAAACATTTTCCATGTGAATATTTATATTTGTATTTGACATAACCTAGTTTTATGTATTTATGTATGCATTTATGCCAACAGCTGTCATTTGTCGTACTATTTCAATCATGTTCTTTGATGAATGATTTTTTCATGATCACGTTTGTACCGCGAGAGTAAAGTGCGCTCAAGCGCGAAAAAGAATGATTTGCTTTTCCGGTTTTCCGCTCTTCACTGATTTATTCTGCTTGGAGTCACAGTGCTTACTGCAACTCGGTGAAGAGATGAAAAGAAGCATGGTGTAGGAAACGATTGAAAGCATCAAACAGAAACGTTTGACTGCATGGAAACCCGTCCGCAAATCAATAAACAAAATGTGTGGTTGAGTTGACTATAAATATTTAGAAATAATTTCGCTGTTTTTGCTTGTTATTCCGGTTTGCGGCTATAATTGGAGTTTTGAATAACAGTAAAATTCATAAAAACAAGTTATGCATTACATTTTCGAAAAGAAGTGGATTTATGTCGTAAAATTTAACTATAAATAAACTTCTTAAAATTTGACGACTTTCATCGTTTAATACCTCACATAAAATTTCTTGAAAATATTAAGATCATGATACAACCCTGATGTTTCCATGCCATTTCACCACCCCCAACATTATTCACTATTTATTTGGCCCACGACGAAGAAAGCCACAACTATTGTATTCGCGCTCGGTGCGAGATGCGGCTACAATGTGAATTTCCATTCGCCGCCTCCGTCCGCGGGGTACTTTCACCCCGACCGCGATATATTTCATCCGGCGCTTTTATGCACAGCGCACGCACCGCAAAATCATAACTCATTTTGAGCACTCAGTGCGATAGGAAAATTGAGTTATCGCACTTTCATTTCGCTTTTAATGTTTTCGCACACATGTTAAACATTGGCCACACTTTAACCGACATAAAATAAAGCCAGAGATACTAAATATAATATATACCTGCATTGCTGAAACACGTTCACGCACAGCTTGGATGAAGTCATCGTGACCGGCGATGAGGCTTGTAACGACGGAGAATTGATGCCATTTGTAGCGTTCTAAGATGCTCAACATGGCTGCGGTTTGATGTTCTAAAGATGGCGCTAGTTGCAGTTGCAGTGAAGATTGAGATGCGCGTCTTTCCAAACCGGAATTATCAGCGTTCCACGCTATCACCGGTATGCCTAGGTAACCTGCCAATTGCAGGAAGTACTGAGCAGATGCAGTGCTGCGTCCGTATTGTTCGTAGTTCATCAGGTACAAGATGGCGGACACGTTGAAGGATAGAAACTCTTGGCAGAGCGATTTTAGAATTGCTGAAACAATAAAAGTACAATATTAACATTGGAAATTTAAACCAAGTCGAGTTAATAAAACTGATTTAGATCGTAAAACTTTTCGAATATACTCGGAAAAACTTTTACTCCAACCTAACCTGAAAAGCTTTCGTAAATGTAAGAATAAAACATCCTTCCGGGAGTACTAGAACAGATCCTCGCTTCAACCACCCAAGGGAATCGAGGAAAATGTGGTGATGTCGCATATGCGGTACGCAAATTGCGAATGTATCGAAGCCGACAATTTCGCCAAAAGTAGTGCATGAGAGAACAAAGATGTGCTCGCCGGAGGCAGCAGCTTGAACAAAGAGAAACACCAATGACGTCGGCGACTCTGCCTTGTCTCTAGACGCTTTCCTTTTTCTTTCTGGGGACCAGCACCGGGATCAAATGCAAATTAGGCTCAGGGTTCGCATTTCGTACACGGCGACGCATCAGCACGATCAGCAGAAGTAAAGGTAGACACCTTAGACACCAATAGGTTAGAAAAGGGACGTTCGGCTGGTTTGGCATTTAGATTTCGAGGGCTTACTCAAAGTCGGGAACATGTTTCCGACGTGTGGGGATATTACATCGGCTTTTGGTGCTTTTGATCGTCTTCAAAGTGTCGATATCAATCAGGTTATAATCAACATGTTATTGGATTATGAACGCAAAACATATTCTCAGCGAAATTTGTTACCTAACATATGAAAGATTCATATTGAAACATTTTTTTCATTAGTCCCAAGTGTACACGAACACAAATTACCCTCGATTACCGGTCGTCGATGGTGCAATATGAAAATATGGAAAATTGCAAATTTCCGGGATTCGCAATTGCCTCTGATGATCCAATTTCCCGTTTGGTTAGAAGTTATCGTTAGTATTTCCTTTAATATTAACCAAACCAAATATTCTTTAACATTTCTAACCACAAAACATCAACTTTTACACCCTGGAAGAAAATTCTAACCTCACTTTTTTATGTATTTTACGTAAATACTAAAAAAGATTCAAATAAAAAATAGGTGAATTTACCTATATGATAAAAAGCGAAGATCTAAAATGTTGAAATAAAGATACCTGCAGGATGTGTGCGGTTGAACATGAGTCGACAGGAGGGCGCAATAGTGCAAGAAAATTATAACGTGAATAAAAGTTTTACGAGCCATAAAGACAACTCTCCATGATGTGAGCACTATGTATCCGTTCCACCTAGTTGTCGTAGTTTATTCAGCAGACATTTTTATCTACGAGTACTCTATCCACCAGTCATCTACTCTGACCTTCATATAAAAATATTTATAGTCAATTTACTTATAATACAGGTTTTTACTAAGGTTGCACGTGGATAGAAACCTTTGAAACCCTTATAAGTTTACAATAACAAACATTTGTAAACAAATACCAGTAAAGTCATAGGGTACGATTATTACCGGTATATCGGTATTTTCATTCAAACATTATCGGAGGACACCGTATCTGCCTCAAAATACCAGTTTACCTAAATACCGGTGATACCGGTATTGAATTAAAAATTCATAGGCCTAGTACAAATATTAATAAACATTAGTGGTCAAATACCGGTATTTTTCCACCACAAAATTTATACCGGTATTTTATTTGCAGTTTCGTATTTTAAATGTGAAAAAGGTAGAAAAGCTTGTAAGCTTGAAAAGTTGTAAAAAGCTTAATAACTCCTCAAATAGAGATAACTAAATACTGATAATAAAATAAAAACTACGTCGCGTCATCAGAATTTAAACAAATAAAATATAAAATCAGCTTTGAATAACGATCGTTAAACGCAGAGTAATTCAACAAAAACGTCCCGTGTCACACATATTCCACCCCCCATAGATAGTTAAATTACCCTCGACTGGATAGCAAAGTTTAATTTTACTTCCGAGCCGTCAAAGCGATTTTATTGCACCGCAGAGAATAGCACCCGGAATAATCCAACATATTCCCTCTTTTAACCTGACATAAAACTGCGCCAAGTCAATAAATTCATTTCTAAAATAAACACAACTAAATTGTTAAATCAAATTCCCGCAAATATTAGTTTAATATTAATTTTAATCACGAGATGTTTGCGAATAGTTTCGAAATCGATCCGTACCTCCGCGTTAATTCACCAGCGTACTAATCCTGTAATTAAATTTAGATTGCAACACGAGCTAAGGCGTCGCAGAACACGATACATAACAAGCCCTATCCGTAACGTCTTGAAGACGCACACCTGCTGCGCGTGCATATTCACAACATTCCCATCACTCCTCCCGGCAATAATCAATCAATGCCACGCGAAATTAGATAACGCGTGTTTAATTAGCCGTCACATTGCGAAACCTAAACATGCGACTATTTATCATCAACAAATCTACATGAATATGAAAATACGTAAATATTATTGTTATGTTGGTTGCATACATTGTTCTATTGTACCTATTTACTTTTGGTCAGAGAAATTTTTATCAATTTTTAAAATCAGCTAAAATAGCGATAGACGGGAGATACATATTGATCCGGTCTGAGTTGATTGATTAATCGGCTTGCGTTGTGCCGTCATCACTCACTTAACCTCAAACAACGTCTATCCGCTTGGACGTGGGCGGACATGAAGCGATTCATCACCGAACTTCATTTATTCACTGTGTTTACCGAACTATCAGTAAACTGACGTTGAATTCGGAGTATTTGCAAAATAAAGTATTTATTATTTTAATGATTTGAATTTTATACTGTTTTACTGCCTAGGGCGTAAAATGATGTTTTTTATGATTTTGCTTCAAAACATGTCGAAAAGATACAAATAAATGTATACAAATTGGACAACATTAGTATACATCACATCAACCCTTATATTCCCATAAGTAGGTCCTAGACATGAAAATATCAAAAAGTCAAGAAACTCGCAGAAACATCACGCACATAACTCAAATCTAAACATCAGGAAAACTACGTGTAGAAGAAAGACGCCGAGTCAAGAAGACAAAAAACAAACTTGACAACGCTCGTGTTTCGAAAGCTCGCAAAGCCGCGAGAGGTTGTTAGGCGTTGTTAGACGTTACGGAAAAATATGTCCCCGACGTGCGGCATCGATGCGAGATAAATACAATACAAAGCCACCGTGAAACGCGCCATAAACTTCTGAAAACTATCTCGGAATAGTATAATGTTTTGAAACATAAAGAAAATTATATATTTTTCTATATTTTTATTTTTTGTCTGAAGTAAACTTAACTTTAAGAAAACGTAATTAAAATTGGTACTTTTAACGGAATTACTTTTGTGCTCGATGGAGGCTTTTGTTTGCTGTGTTATTGTTGAAAATCATAACAGTAATAATAATAATTCGCCAGCTCACGGCGAAAACTTATGGATCGGGCGCGGCGCCAAAATTGCCCGCCGGGCTGTTGCGAAGGATAACTAAGGATAACGGCTCTTTGCTATCCTTTTAGACTCGCACGTGCGTGCTGTACAAAGGCACAACTCGCCATAAATCTGTTTAAATGTGTTTCAGAAACAACACAAGCGTTTATTGTTAGTTTAATTATTCATGTGACTTGTTTTTAATATAAGAAAAAAATGAATATATGAAAAGCAGTTTTGTGTTGTAGGACAAAGTGCTTTATTTTTGTGTATTCGTTGATGTCTTAACAAGGTTTTGTATTTTTCCTTTATTTGAAATTCTGAGCGCATAATATTTGAATTTCAATCTGTCTCATACATTCTTTGATGAAATTTCCTTTAGTTTTGCAACCCTTCCGCGTCTTTTTGCGTTTGTATTTTCATTTATTCGACAACAATCTTCCCTGACCTGCATAAAAACACAATACAGATCTTTCTCGTGCTTATTTGCACTGAAACTTTTCAGATCTTCAATTTTTAAAATTAATTAATTCAGTGGGTAGAAGTTTGCAGTGAAATAATTACTCATCATTAAAAGTGTAGAACTCGTTTTCGTAATGTTGCTCGCTTCAAGGCTGCAACTTAAATAAAAGTTCTAGAGCACACATTCTGCAGTGGAAGTTCATATTTCGAATTTATGCATTCACCAGTGCTTTATGCTGTATTTCGTCAGAGGGAAGCTTATTCCTGCTCCGCGGCAAACTTCCGGGTTTGCAGTTTTCATAAATCAAGCGCTTGGTTTGTTGATAATAAAATTATGCCTGAAGCGTTATAATTTTCAAAATTTCAATTAAAATTTGATTATTTTGAAAAAAGCAATGTTTAAATTGCGGTAAAAGTACCAAACTCAAATTTACAAATAAAAAATTTGATTTTAATTTTGATTCATGCTTAATAACCATACTTATTGTTTATTTGCCAAGACCAAACATTTTGTTTTATTTTTACCATAAACCGACAATCACAGGAGAAATTAGAATCAAATGAGCAACACAAAAATTAAACACCGATTGCGTACAACGGCAGGTACGGTACTAAAAACGAGAAAAAACGCGGCGCTGGCAGAAAAAAAACGAAATACCAAAACAAATATCGCTTGGAGCTATATGCTCGTTACACGAGAAAAACGTGGAATAAATTGGCAGAACACTGAGCAGTCCCTCGATGAAGAACTGCCGCTGCTGACGTTTTAAAATGCAAGCGTTGGAAATGTTCTTTAATTGAGTTTAATTACTCCAAACACATAGTAAACAATAAAAATGAGCGAAAGTAAAAAAAATGTGCTTTTTAATTGTATTTTTCGCATTTAGAAATTAACTGTCTTTAAAATTATTTTCCAACAGATTTACCACTGTAATTTAACACTTATATGTCTAAATTACTAAATAATGATAATCTGCACGATTTACGCCTTGCAAATCATTCACGCTGACCGAAAAACACAAAGAATTAGAAGAATTGAATAGTGAAAGCAGCTGGTCAAAATCAGCATGCAAATTTGATGCAAATTACTAATTGGAAGAGGCACTGGCATCGCGGTGCGAATTATTGCGTTAGAACGGGCCAGGATGGGTCAGGACACA